TCGATAACGGCCCTGATATGATCCATTAAGCCATACTTATCACAAAGTCTATAGATATCTGACACAAGACCATGTTGATTTTGTGAACATCCATGGTGAAAGCTGAGCAGTCGGGTGAGGAGTATCTTGTATGGAACGTATCCATTTTCAACTGCCTGCCGAAGAAAAGTAGTTTTCTGGAGTCTATCACGCCTTCAAGTATTACACCAAGTAGACCCAAATAGACGTCAGTACGAGTTAGTTTCGGCAGTCCTTGAATACATTTGATTACATATCTGTATGCCCTCTCCAGCATCGTAATTTCAGTTTTTGTTAGTGTCGCAGGGTTTTATAACACGACCACTGGGCTGGTGTTCAATCTCTTTACTCTGCCTGCCATTTGCCATTTGGGGTTGGTCAAACACGACCGTGCCATAAACCTGTAATTAGGAAATTACGTAGAGGGCTGCCACTGCCAGCATGGTGTGTGTTTATATATCAATACGACAAGTAAAACTATTGACATTTTACATAATTATTAGATATAAATAATTATGAAAGTTAATGGTTACTAAACCATTATTAAATATAATTATTTGAATACAGGATTACACCTGACTAATTATGAGAAATTGTTTTAATATGAACAATTCAAACTTGCATACCTGTAATTAGGAAATTACGTAGAGCGCTGCCACTGCCAGCATGGTGTATGCCGGGCACATGGCACATGCAGCTTTTATATCACCTGAGTGCACAGACTGCAGGAGCAGCATGTGCCAGAACCCAGGATGTATCGGATTGCAGCCAGCTCAACTATGGCAAGCTGTTAGGGACAACAATTGTGAGATGTGCAAGAAGTGCTGTGCTATACATTGTATGAACAATTGAACCTGTGACATTAGTGCTGACCAGAGTTCAAATCCGTACAGAGCCGTGGGCAGGGTTATTGCTTCAACGAGTGCGAGACAGGTTTGGGGACTGACAAACGTGGGACTGAATCCAGACCTGATGAGAATATGTACACTGGGTCTCACTGTCATACATTCATTCAGTGTTCTCTCTGTTGACAACATATTAGCAGCTAGGGTTATTCCTACGTGCTACGTCCCTATAGTTACTACCATAAAGCGTGAGATCAGGGTTACCTCTGCATTTGCGTTTGAACGTCATGATTTGCTAGCAGAGAAACTAAACCTCCTTTAGAGCACTGTATGAAGGGCTCACCAAGGCTATGTCATCTGCCTGTTTTGGGCAGCATGTGTTAAGAGCGAGAATTAATGAGCCTCTATTAGCACTAGTCAGTTCTGACAGGAGTTCATTAATGAATAACAGGTAGAGTCTGGCAGACAAGATCCCGCCCTGGCGAACACCGTAGTAAACTGAACCATCTTGATTGGTAGCAGTTGAGGTAAGTCAATACAAAGCAATAGCAACCTTTCTTCTGGTATCCAAAGGAAGACGTACATACACTCTTCAAAACAATGAAACGTAAAAGCATAATATCATTGAAAAATGTGGTCTTATTCAGTTACATTGAAATCAACGGTACAGCACTGACATTTTGTAGAGCAATACTGTGCTGTCACAAACGACAGTGAAACCTTTTTTTATGTATTTTTCTCTTAGGACCGTAACTGGTTTGTCAAACCAGTGCCGATACCTGGTTTCGGTTTGCGCACGATCAGCACGTGCAAGTTGGTTAAAAGCGAGAGTTTTTGTCCGTCATTTTAAAACAGGGATAGCCCTGAGTCAGTCGGCCAGGCAGCATCACGTTGAAGTCAACATTGAAATGTTGCTCCTTTTCACACATAAACCCACAGTGAATCACCAAAGTGTATGTATTCTTTACTTTTTGTATTTATGGCACATTTCATGCTACAGGTATATTCTAAGCATTTTAATGCTATTACCATATATTTTTCCTATTTCATATGGATAAAACCATTACTTTATGAATTTACTTTCGTTGTGGAATTTCCTAATATTTATGGAGATTGTTGGTATTTCATTTCTGAATGTTCACCATAGTAATTTGGTCGATATTCATGGGAATTTGATGGTATTTACTTGAAATTTCTTCATGTGTTATTCATATTAACGTGTTCATGAAAGTAGGTTTAAAGGAACACTGGCTTATATAATTTTGTTCATTGGTACATTGCTTTACCATAACAGTTCAAAATACATGTATTCATGGATTGACATAAAAGTTAATGGGAGATGTTTGTAAAACATTTTGTGGACTAACTTTCATTGTTTATATGGACTTATGATCCCTTTATTTGTTACAGCTTTTTACCCTATTCCACATCCTATTCACCACAAGACAAGTGGACACAAGTCCGTAATGTATATATGAATGGTAGCAATGTATACCACGAATAAAGGTGATGAATTTAAGTGGATTTAGGGTTCGCTATTCAGCATAAATACCATTCACATTTCACCAGAATGACAGTCATCATAGTCATCACTGCTGTCCACGAGGTGGCGTTGACGTTAGTACCTCATATGACCACCTCTTACTGCTAGAACTGCACGACACCTCCTTGGCACTGATCGATTCAGTTGTTCCTGCAGCAGGTTGAACAACTGTTGAGGTGTCAGTGGCGGATTACGATGTCGATGTACACGTTTAGTGATCTGATCCCACAGATGTTCAATTCGGTTCAGATCCGGTGATCTGGAGGGCCAGGGGAGGACATTGATGTTGTTATTGGCAAAGTAGTCCACTGTAGCTCGTGCTGTGTGAGGTCTGGCGTTGTCCTGTTGGAACAGCTCCCTCTGGCGGTCGACAAGGCGATGCACGTGAGGACGGGGAATCTGGTCGATATATCTAGCGGCCGTCAGATTGCCTTGGACGAGCACCAATTCCGACCTGCGGATGTATGAGATGGCCTCCCTACACCATGACACTGTCTCCACCAAATTTGTCCACTTCCCTGATGCAGTTGGGTGCAAAACGTTCATTGCTTCGTCTGTAGACACGTTGTCTTCTGTCACGTCGCTGGGGGAGATTCATGTCTGAACCATATGTGCCTCCAATTTTCAAGGTTCCATGGCTGCACCGTGTTACACCACCTGACTCGCCGACGTTGATGTAGACGTGTCAGAGACAATCCAGCATTATCAGAAGCATATGTAAGAAGCCTTTGTGGAGAGAATTTGCAAAATGGTTGTTTCTGTCATGGAATATTAATTACATAGGGTTAATGCTAAAGTACACTCTGCAGATAAAAGGATTGGGTAGGAGATGATGGGAATGTTTTATCCTGTCTGTTCATAAAACATTCAATACAAATGCAATTTTATTACGTTGTCAGTCACGTTTGTCAGCTAGTGAAGAACACACACGCAAAAGCTGTTTTCGGCAAAGAGGAGTAGAATTCCACAGAACAGAATCAGCAGCCATATATAGCCAGTGCCGAGGAAGTGTAGAGCAGCACACAGTGGTCACACCAGGTACTGATAGGCACGTACCGTACCCCCTTATGGGCGTTCGTGTCTTCTGGCAGGACAGTCGGTTTTGCCTTTACCTCTACAGAACCTGTGACTAATACCTGTCGTCGGGCAGTCCCGGGCATGTGTTCCCAAAGTACACATACTGGGAGGGGTATCACGCTCATTAAACTGAAGTACACATGTTAAGCGGTGTGTCCATTAAGCTTAACGTTCACAAGCGGAGAGGTGTGGCATGATCTTAGGACTGAAGAGAACGATTATTGAGCTTATATGTCACGCTCGTGCGACCTTCACAGATATTCTTGACACTGATCATGATATGAAAGATCTGCTACTTTAAAGTACAGAGATGTTGCAGATTTTCAGATTTAAACCAAAAGAAAGTCAAAATACATTTGTAGCCGTCTTTCACAATTATTCACATTTTAATGGTGTTTCACCTGCGGAATTCGCACTTTTACATTTATTGGAGTACGCTCACAGCTTTTATGACAATGGTGCTTGTTCTAATGGCCATGAAGCACGGCAATATTTTTCAAACGTTTTTCTTAATTTAAAATATTCGCTCAAATTTAGTCTATAAAAGGAATCATACGCGATACCTTTGAAGAAGTGAGATAAGTATGCAGTCTGCTTGCCGTTTAAAGCGTCCTTAAAGTGAATGACTTGGATGGTGAAAATATACAAATTACTATGCCATAAGATATACAAGCATTTTCAATAATTTATAAATGAATAGTTATTTTTCTGTACATTCACCATAAAATGGTGAAATACAAACATAGATGACCACTATCATTTCTTTATATGCCTTTATGCAATTATTTCGATGGTGTCTGGGATCTCAGCCCTATACACAATTGATTTTAAGAATTTTATCTAAAAAAATTTTCGGGCCATATTTGTAATGGAAATATGTTTGAAATTAGCTCCGTATCAGGTATAGTATTATGTTTGGCTAAAGGTGCGTTCTCATGGTGCGATTTGTCGTAACAACGTGTAGCATGCGACTTGTAGTAACAACAAAGATGGTAACGACTTTGTTATTTGTGTACTTTTTAAGTCGCATACATCTCGCGTGATTCCCACATATGACTCGGTAACGGGGATTCGTCAAGTGAAAAAAAAGCTAGCCTTAATGTCAGTCTACCAATCGCAGTCACTAAAACAAAAGAAGAGAAACCTAATCGATGTGGGTCGGGCAACTTGGCACAGATCTAAGCGATTTGATTGGTCGAGTGCTTGCGACTTTTAGTATGAATCTTATGGCTTACATCTCGGCTGCGACTAGTTGTATGCGATTTCAAATCTGTAAGATTTTGGTGTTCTCAAGTTGCAACTGTGTTGCAAGCTACAAGTTGTTACTTGCATAATCGAAAAACATAATACATTTATTGCCAATGCCAGCTGTGCACACAGACCACAGGTACAGTTTATGACATCATGTTTATTTGCATATATACTTCTGCATATGCGGAATACATGCATTTATGGTGAATGAAGGAGAGAGGGAATCAACGTCATAAAGCCATACAACAGAACGGTCATTCCAGAAAATGGATGTTATCTGCAAGGATGAAGACATAGTCCCAGACATGGTTCCAATGGCTGATATGCTCAACAGGAACCAATCTCAGCAGGGGAACCATGAGGAGGAGGAGGAGGAGGAGGAAAAGAGGGGACAGTGGGGATCACAAGTCGAGTACCTGTTATCGGTTGTCGGATTCAGCGTTGGCTTTTCAAACGTGCTTCGATTTCCATATATCTGTAGTAGAAACGGCGGAGGTACGTATGATTCTGTAGATATAGCAGTTTCACAATTACATATACATGATCATAGCTCACTGAATAAGCATGCCTACCAATGAATTATTCATACAGTTGTAAACTGGGGTTGTTAAGAATTAGTCAGAAATAACTGTTTCTAATTGGTTTCACACATTGTACCCATGTGGGGAATCGAACCCGGGCCTCCGGCGTGACGAACGAACCTTTAACCACTAGACTACCCCCCCGTTTCTCCATGATGATCCTAAATATTTCATCAGAAGAACGTTAACTCATGAGACATAAGCCTTGAGGGCTTTTCGAAATAACAATTTCAAGCCATGCGTAGTTCGAAACAAGCGGAATACCAATACACTCAAACACCGTTGAGTCAAAGCTGAAGAGACCTCTGCAAATACTTTTTGTTATTCGAGGTTCGTCACCACCGGAAAATTATGACTAGGAATACGCAGGGAGCAACCCAGCGGGCACACAACGTTGATTCAACGTTTAATCAACGTTGATTTTTGGTTGTTTGGTTGATGAACCTTTCATAAACGTTGATTCAACGTTTATCATGCGACCAAAGAAAATTAGTCGACATTTGTTTAGTTGTCAACGTTGTTTCAACGTAAGGAACCAACAAAATGTCAACTAATTGTTTCCTGGGTTGTGTTACATATATTGGTAATAGGTATCCAACTTAGAAATTATCATTTCCGAACATTATTTTGATAAAATATCGATATTGACCTAGGCCCAGATATAATCTAATATATTGTATGATTATGGATCCATTAACGGACGGAAATGTTGTGTAAATAGTAAGTAACTAAAAATGAAAAAAAAATCAACGATTTTAGCATAAAATCATCTGCTATCCGAATTGCATCAAATTTCATACTTTCCCACAAAACTGTCAAATCTTATAATTCCCGACAACTTGCGTTCAAACACGTGCGAGATGTTGACCTTTTGGTCGCCTCGTTTGCTCATATCCGCACATGCGCACAATTATCGCGCGCGCAAAGGCAAACGATGGTGGACGGTTCGTAATTTCACTTTGGCGCAATATCGTTTTTCAACAGCTTCTCGGCTTACTGGTGTTTATTAGGTGAGTATTTCATTGATGTGTAATGAAAATGTAAGAATGTTTTAATCTAGCTTGTTAATCTTGCAGGAATTCCGGTAAGAGTTCCATCCGTAACCCACCCGCCACACTAGACAAGTACTGACCAGAAATGTAACTGTAGGGTTAGGTCCAGACATCTGTATGATCCTGGAAATCCCCCAAAATACCCCCTACTCAAACCCCAAATAAATAAGCACCATTTTTATGAAAGCCATCTATTCTTAGGCATAGAAGAAATAAAACGGGGGTTACGGGTGGAAATCTTTTCCCCATATAAACGTGAACTTGTTTTGGTATTTTTCAATATATTTCCTTGCATATATAATTGGCATTTTATTATATAACCGAATAAGTGTTCCTTTCACGAAGTACGAGTACCCATCACCCGATTTCAATTTTGCAAATATATATTTTTAAATATTTGACCAAGTACAGTCATTGGACATAAGTATTCATCACTGTGCATAATTTCCATAGACTTGCATGTTAATTTGGTGCAGCTAGAAAAATTATCTTTAATGTACTTTTCGTTTGATCTTGTTCATATTTTGCACATGTATCATGAATCATCTCGCCTGCAAAGACATATTTTTCGTTATATTTTCCATTTAGTATTTAAAAAATGACCACACTATATGACACTTTGAATGATGCGTGTCATGGTTATGACAGTTTTTAACATGGCGGTCTATGGGGAAAGAATACACAATGTTGTATTATATGTTGCATATGTAACTACAATGTGGAAAATACTTGAAGGAACATTACATGGAAATTATGTATCTGTGACCAAGATGATTTCCAAACAACCTGCAAAATTTGACAACCAAGTAATGAAAACTGAATTAATGAAAATTATAACAGCTACACTAAAATAACATGCAAGTCTATGAGAATTTTGCCGACTGACAAATACTTAAGTCCCATGACTGTACATCTATAAACACAGAACCATAACCTAAATTTGTGGATAACCTTGATTCGTGGATTGCGGTAATTATCATGCTACATTGTATATCGTAAATTAAGTCTCGTATGACGTCACAATGCGGTACTTTTTATGTACATAGTACCACATTTCGCTGACAAAGATGTTCCAATTGTAGGCATAATCAGTCATTTTAATTTAATGGGAATTTTTCAACCAAATTTGGTGTGTTGCCAGGGTGAAGTTTCAATACCAACAAAACACTATAATATTCATAACAATTTTTTTTTTTTTTAATAACATAAAGTTACAAGACACCCACCCGCAGAAAAAAGAAATAATTGTTTTTAGCCACTTTTGGGCTGAGGAACATTTTATAAATATTTCTGCACTTCAAAAGTTTGTTTAAGTGATCTAGCTCTGTATTGGTATTTTGTCTATCCATTTTGGTGATAGTAGTCATATATTTACAAAATACAATATAAAATCTGTCACTGTAAGAGAAGCACTGTATCATCATTTAAATTATTTTCACAAAGTTTTCATGAATGTCTGAAAATGAGTAAAGCATCATCAACATAAGGATACATAGTTGTTCTCATGGTCAACAGGTACTTTTATCCCAAAAGAGTGACAATAAAGTTAAGAAAGACTATTTTACAGCTTTTATAAACATATGCTTGACCTACGAGAATTTACATGAAATTTTATGTGGGGCTAGGACAAGGGATAAGTTATCAAAATACACTTTGTAATATTCCAAAGGAAAGTAGTGTATTTATCACATCATCTTACAAAAACATTGACATTACCAAATCATTCACCCCCAAACCTATTACTTGTCTAATGTTTCACACCGTTCGTTGCTTGTGGTAATTAACATATTTGAATGCATGCTCCTTTTATAATGCAGTCCATTGTCTTTAATAGAAAATAACCCGTCCTACTTGAGGGAGTGGAGAAAATGTAATGCAGAGTTAAATGAATTAGCTGTAAGTAGCAGTTCGGGTGATGAGGAAGAAATAGGGGAAAAACACACCACCAGCGTCATCAAAGACCACAAACCATATGAACATGATGAATTGGATGAAAGTATATCATTTGAATATGATTCTGATGTTAACTATGATAACTCATCAGATAGCAGTTTTTGGATTGATGAACACGAAGAAGGAAATGATGGTGGTAATGATTGTGATAGTGATCATTTTGGAAAGCATGGAGTGGAAGAACATGATTCTCTTCTCAGTGAAGAAATTGCAGGTTAGGCAACAAAGCATAAATGTACCAGAAGTGCTGTCAATGAATTACTTGCCATTTTAAGGAAACATGGGCATCGTTTACCAAGGGATTCAAGGACACTTCTTCAGACACCACGTTTCATCGAAAGCACCGAAAAATGTGGTGGACAGTATTTGTATTTGGGAATAGAAACAGGGCTTCTTAAGTTAGTAGCGCAGTACACAAATTATTTCAAACAGCAGAAAGAAGCACTTCTAAATGTAAATATTGATGGTGTTCCTTTGTTTAAATCATCCACCGGACAACTTTGGCCAATTCTCTGTAGTGTGAATACTTTTGAACCCTTTGTTGTTGCCATATACTATGGACGAACAAAACCAAATTCAGTGGATGAGTTTATTTCAGATTTTTTAACAGAAATGGAAACTTTGGTTTCAACTGGTTTTGAGTTTGGCGGACAAATCATTACTGTGAAGTTAAATGCTTTTATATGCGATGCACCTGCAAGAGCATTTCTCAAGTGTATTAAAGGACACAATTCATATTTTGGATGTGAGAGATGTACCATAAAAGGGTCATGGCAGGGACGGGTCGTCTTTGATGAATTGCAAGATGATTCTTCATTGCGAAGTGATGAAAAATTTTAAAAATTTGAATACAACACTCATCAAACAAGACTATCTCCACTGGCTACTGCAGGAATACCGTGTGTCACATCTTTTGTTTTAGACTACATGCACTTGGTATGTCTTGGCGCTGTTAAGAGAATCTTGACATATCTGAGACAAGGTCCAAGAGAGTGTAAACTTTCTCAACAGCAGTTCAGTGTACTCAGTCAGAAACTTTGTTCGTTAAGTGGAGAAATGCCAAGAGAATTTGCAAGGCAGCCCCGGTCTTTGTATGAACTGGACCGATGGAAGGCTACAGAATTTAGACAATTTTTACTGTATACTGGACCACTTGTTCTTCGAAGTGTTGTATCTGGAAAGTTGTACTTTCATTTTCTGTCACTGACTGTGGCATTAACTATTCTACTGGATGCCAACAATGATACCAGGAATGCCTATTTGGATTATGCAAGAGAGCTATTATTTTACTTTGTGAAAAAAGCTAAGGATGTTTATGGTCCCACATTCATATCCTATAATGTCCATTCTTTAATCCATTTAGCAGATGATGTCCATCATTTTCAAACATCATTAAATGATATATCTGCATTCAAATTTGAAAACCATTTGCAAAAATTAAAGAAAAGTGTACGAAATTCCCAAAATCCTATTGCACAAGTAACCAAACGAATAACAGAAATGGAAAATTCAAAACTTCGATTCCAGTCAAAACTACCGATTGTTAATTCTTTTATATCCACGAGGAGAAAAGACAGTTGTGTTTTATTGAAAACTCAAAAGTTTGCCTTTGTCAAAGAGAAGACCAGGAAAGCAGTATGTTTGTGATGTTATTGCATTTAGAAATCTGGAAAGTTTTTTTCAGTGTCCATGTGATTCAAAACTAATTAACATTGCAGTAGCAAGTAGCCTCTCCAGACATACCAAAAGGCAGTTACTCACCGTTGAGGACATAGACAGAAAAGTAATCTGTCTACCATATGAAGGAAGTTTCCTCCTGTTTCCTTTGCTGCATGGTTTTGAAAGACATTAATCAGGGGTAGGTCTTACTGTTTGGAAATGTGTGACTCCCAATGTCAAAGCACTGTTTAAGAAACAGATCAATAAGGAATAGTGTTGGGGTTTTTTCCATTCTGAAGTGTCAGCAAATTGTGTGTTGTTAATATTTGGTGTCCTTGTCTCTGTGTGAGTAACATATTATTGGAATGGACATTAAACTAACAAATGAACTCACCCCATCATTTCTGAATGTACTTGGGTTGTCAGTCCAGATTTGAAGAGGTCATCATGCGACGATGTCATATTTGGCATACTAGATTAGATATACTCATGAATACCTGTTAAAAGATGAGGATCCTCCGTTTTATCGTACCTCACACATAAATGTCGCTTTCTGATTGGCTGAGCGCTCTTCTATTATTTTCAGTATTCCCCGCTTACAAGCGAGTAACATTTCAATATACCCTGATGTCAATGACAACTCATTTGGTACTTCGTGGTAGTAATTCTTTATCTTGAATAACATTGAATCGTGTAATGTATGGAAATTACCGATGTTTTGCGAATGCAAATCGATGGAAGGGAGATAACTCTAAATCTGTTTTTCTTGTCAGCAAAATCTAGTGATGGCTACAAGAAGATTTGTACCCGTGCTTCAAACAATTCAAAATTAACATTAAGGTGTTCGGTATGATAAATACGTTGTTCACTGGTCCCTCGGGGCACATGGGTTGATGTACCCTCGGTGTTTGTTTACGTTCCCCTTGCCCATATTGTTTCCCTTGTGAAAGAATCACGGTCAAGCATGTCCTGTTTTACTGTACTGATTTTTCCATCTCAAGGGATAAATATTTCTGTGTTAAAACTGTTAAGGATCTTTTTAATAATGTTAATGTTTTGTTTTATTATCAAATTTTAAAAAGAAATTGAATTGTTTGATAAATTTTATAATTGGAAGTAAAATCAGTAACTGAAATTGTTAGTGGTCGTATCCTCAAAGGGGGTTAAAGTATCGTAAAATTAGTGTCTTCCAGAGAGGATATGTTAGTCAGAAAATATTCAAAGTCTATTTAAATCTATCCACTCTTTTTAATTGTACAATATGTCTCTTTGTAATGTATGGCTAGATGGGTGTATGGGTGGTGTAAATCTAGCTTGGGTCCATGCAGGAAGCAAATGTACAGTAAGTCCCCATGGTTCTTAGTATGGTGGTCTACCTTCAGTTGTTGGCGATCTATAGCCTGCTTTTATATTGTTTTGTCATTTCTAGTAAAAATGTTTTAGATTGAATTACTAGTTTTAAATGGATATCTGTGATAATCAAGTAGTTTTACTGTTCTTCATCAACAGGCTTTTAATTTAATATAGAGCAAACTTTATGGATAACAACTTCTTTTTATTCGTGAGTGTAACGTTTCAATACAGATTCTTGTACGTTGTCAAGCATAATGTACTTGTACTTCCCAACTTCTAAATGCCATTCAAAGAAGGCTTTTATTTTCTAATTTTATTGATCTATAATATAATTATTAATTGTTCTCATCCTGTTATGGTTGAAGTATTGCCTATGTGATGATAAATATTCACTCACTCACTCATTTCTGAACGTCAAGCCAATATGTTACGAATGCCAAATTATGTAAATTTTCCTTATTTCAGTTCTTGATTATGTTGAATGCAATGGAGGCTAAGAAGTTATGGGTTCTAGCAGTGTGGAAGGAAAAAGTACAGGAAGAAGAAGGAGTGATTCCAAGTTCTTGGGTCAAAGGAAAATATGTTTTCTGGCCAAGTGGTGGAAATGCACAGAAAGCTCTGAAAAACAGACGAGAACCAAGCCCAAGTTGGAGTCGTTTTCCTCTTGTCAAAATTAAGTTTCAGTCTGGTAAGTGTTTAAGTGTCTTGCTGTCATCAGTGTCATTTAAATGCAGTATTTTCTTCCAGGACAATGTTTTCCTGGGCACAATGATTATCATACAAGAGCAGATAGTCAGTTTATAACATAACATATATACACCTGCTAGAAATTATTTGTTATTGCATAGTTTTAGAAAAACACCTACACTTTATGTTTTACTGGATGGAAGAGTTACTTGGTACTGAAAGACCTCAGGGCTGTAGTTCATATTCTGATACAAAAGTTATGTCATTATGTGTTTAATATTTTCCTGTATTGTTCCCTATATTTCCACTTTACTATCTACAGATTCACATCAAGAGTGTGAAGAATACAATTACACTACCACCGAAGACTTGTCAGAAGCAGAGGTTGAAGATACTCAAGCAAAAAGACAACCCAAAAAGAAACATTATTCAGACTTCGTTACAGGTACATTTTAAATGTAACATGTACAGTATTAATCCTGAGCATAAACAAAAACTGGTTTCATGTTTTCCATTTCTCTATACAGCAGTAATTCTATCAGACATGTTTTCCAAGAAACACTTTACATACAGTCTTATTAATTCTGGGACAAACAGTTTGTGATAATGATACTACTAATATCTCTGGTTTGGCTAGAGCGTAATTGTAGATGATATTTATTTATCAGATGCAGATGAAATTATAAATGATCAACGCCAGGACAACCATATTGACAGTGATCATGATGAATCTGAAGGTAAGTTATGGAAAACCATAAAAGTGTGCCTGTTTCTAATAATTTGTATTGCAATTACAGTAACGTTTAGTTGGGTTTGGGGTTTAAAGTCCTGTTAACAATATTTATCACATACAAGAAGAGTGCTATGCTTTCACAACAGCACACTGTATCTCTACAACTTATGGAACTGTTGCCAAGATGCTGGACCTCTGGCAGGATTTTTGAACCTGGCACCTTCGGATCCCCACTGCTCTAAATAGCATTACTTTCTAAACCTTGGCAAAAATCCCCTACTAAACCATGATTCTTTTTTATATATTCCTCCTTGGGGTACTTATAAGCATTTAAATGTCCATTTAAATTCCCTACGACAGTTGTAACAATATTTGAATAAAATATTTACAAAACAAAAACTACGTTTTGTCTTGTGAGACCACCCTTACAGGGCCTTCCGGCCCCCTACAGCCAAGAGCAGGTAACTCTAGACCGTAACCTTGTACCTCACTTTCCATGCTGTCGTTGTACCCGACAAGGCGTGGGTCCATACCAGAAGGTTTTTCCTTGCGACTAAGAGAGTTATGAGTGTTTCAGAAACTGCAACTGTATGTATGGTTCTCTTTTTTTTCCCTGCATGGGCTTAATTGGAGGTTTTTTCTGAATTTTTTCATTCATAATTTCTCGTTGTAACTTGGTACCTGTCGCGGTCGGCTCGCTAGTCTCGCGAAGTCAAGATGGCGGACAGGTCCCTTAAGCTAGCCTTCCTGTTCATTGGTTTCCCATGTGGTTTTCAATGTTACAGGTGGTTTTAGTGGTTTTTATTTGTATCTTTGTGCGTGTAGAGGCGTCTGTCTACTGCTCGCATTTTCTATATTACGCTAAAAACGTAATTGTTAGTTATGCTGCAGTGTGTACTAGGTTGTCAACTGCATGCCACGTTTGTCGCATTAGTTATTGCCATGCCCATGTGTCTTTTACATGTATTTGTATGTGGGTATAGGGTAGATTGCTGCACAGGTTTTACTTGTTGCAGTTTAAACCCTTCGTGCCTTGCTGCAATTCCCGTCACGGGATACCCACGAGTCTGCTTACAGCTGTTTAGTGCAGAAGGAACATGAGGAAGAGGGGTGTGCGGCATGTGCCATGTTCTCGCCCAAACCATTCGGGTAGGCGGATAGACTGCGCTGTTTTCACGGCAACCTGCTTCGGGCGGGGTGATCTCTGGGCACAGGATCCCCGTCCAAAGCGCTCCCATAGTAAAAAAAGGGGTCCACGGGGCAGCGCTGTGGGCGGCTCCCATGAAAGCTAAAGGCGACCAAAGGCGGCTTCGTCTTCACGCACTCATGCCCCTTCTGCATCTCCTACTGCTTCCGTCTCTCCTGCCACCCCCCCCTCTTGATTCAGCACCTGTAAAAAGTGTTCCTGTTGATTCGTTAACCGTTTTTTTCCTGGAGCAGATGTCGTCAGTCAAGTCCCTGATTGATATGGCGTTAGCGGGGTTCCGTAAGGAGCTCAGCGCGCCGGTCGTCGGGGGCGGGGCTGACACATCTGGGGGGGTTGGCTGCGGCCCGAGCTTCGGCTCGGAGAACGCGCCTCCCCCCGGGCGGCTTGATCCTGGCTTCGGCCCTGGTGATGGCATGCCCTCGGCGTCTGGTGGCGACCTGGCTTTATGCACTGGTCTGTCACAGGTGCCTGGTGCCGGCGATACAGGTTTGCCCCTGTCATTGCCTGGTGTCCCGACTGGCGGTCGCCTAGGCGCCGACCAGTTCGGGGATACCTCGGCGCCTGGCAGCCAGTCTGGGTTGCCCGGGAAGCCTGTTGCGGCAGGTTCCTCTCGGGCGACTCGGCGACCTGGTGCGGGTTCCTCCCGGCAGGGCGATGTTTTTCCCCTGGCTCCTCTTGACCTTATGAGTTTTTCTGGTCCTGCCTCGAGCGTCTCCTCGGCGTTCTCTCAGGAGTCTGAGATTATGGCGGCGAGGATTCTGCCGAGGTCGATATGGAGGAGGAGGAGGAAAGGACGGTGGAATCGGAGGCGGGTGTGCCCGTACTCTTTGCCTCGTCACTGCGGCAGGTTCGGGGATAAGATCGCCGCGAAGTCGTGCCGCAGGTGGCTGTTCCGTCCGCACCCGACCCAGCGGAGTTTCGGCTCCGGGGCGTTCGCGACCTAACCAGGTCGAGAGGCACGCTTACGCATTCTCCCATCACTGGTCAGTGAGGTGGTGAATCCGCTCCTGGCTGGTACTTTCGCTTCGGCGTTTTGATTTGCCTGAAGTCGGCCCGGCGGTACCAGTTAGGTGCGGAGGCGCTCTTCGAACCACCAGTGGTGGGCGAGTCGCGTCTTTGCCTCAGTCACGTTAGGAGGGTCGTCTTCGTCTTCCCTGGCCTCGGCCAGGCAGGGCAGCGCCTCCCCTTTTCCGGCTAGTATGTCACTGCGGCTGAAGTCTGCCTACCGGTCATTCGAAGAATGTTACGGTCTTGTGACCAACAACTTAAAGTAGCAGTCCATTCAGCCTACCTGTCGGCGTTGCAGGGACAGCTGGTGGCCCTGCGCTGGCGGTGCCGATTCATCGGAGTCGGTGCTTTCGCCCGGCAGTTAACGGACGATACACTCACATCTGGCTCGGGACAGCATTCGGTGCTGTGCCAGCCTGATGATGGGTGCCGTCATGGGCTTGCGCCGCCTGTGGCTGTCTGTGGCGGTATCGCGGCCGCCACACAGCAAACTCTCCTGTCATTGCCCTATACCATGGGATCTTCCCTGTTCCCTGGGGCCTTGCAGGTGGTAAGGGAGGCAGCGAGGCTGTCTCTACCTTTAAGGACTCAAAGCCTTTGTTGGAGCAGCCCTCAGCTCACCCGCCATAGGCCCTCCCGCTTGCGTCCGCTTACCCTTCTGCCTTGGCGAAGGATGTTGTTAAGTGGGCTGCCCTTTGCAGTCAGGCGAGACAGGCGCGCGAGAGGCAGGGGCAAGCCTGCTCCAGCGCAGCAGTCTTTTTCGGGGCAAGGGAAGCCAGCCCCGGCTTCCCACTGATTCATTCCCCAGAGCCCTTGTTGCCCCCACTCCATGGCGGAGACTTGCCGGCGGTGGGGTGCACTGCCTCTTGCCACACGTCCCTGTCGGCGGCCGGCTGTCCCTATTCCTCCGGGAGTGGGGGGGCAGCCACCTCAAATCCCTGGGTCCTGTCCACGCTCAGGGATGGCCATTTGCCACAGTGGGTGGCGATCCTCCGTCCTTCTCGGGGTTGGCTGCGCCTGTGCCGACCCCCTTGACAAGCAAGGAAGTCCTCCGTGCCGAGGTTCAGTCTTTACTGACCAAAGGCGCCATCGAGTGGTTCCTGTGAGTCAGCGAGAAGAGGGGTTTTATTCCACCTACTTCCTCGTGACCAAAAGGGCGGAGGGTTCAGACCCATTCTGAATCTCAGAGGGCTGAACAAATTACTGGAGTGCCGTCTTTCAGGATGGAGACACTCAGGTCAGTGATCTCCTCCGTCGAGACAGGGGATTGGCTTACGTCAATCGATCTCAAAGACGCATACCTCCATGTTCCAATGCACCGAATTCAAGAAGTACCTCCGGTTCTCCTTCGACGGGGCGTGCTACCAGTTTAGCGTGCTCCCCTTCCGGCATCTCCACGGCACCAAGGGTGTTCACCAAACTTATGCTAATCCCAGCTCAGTTAGCCAGGGCTCGGGGCAGGTGTTGTCACCCGTACCTGGGCGATTGGCTTCTACGGGCCTTAGGGCCTCAGTTAAGCAGAGCCTCCACACTGTGCGTGCTGGATACTCTGGTGTCACTGGGCTGGATTATCAATCTCAAGAAATCAGACCTCGTTCGGCGCAGGATCTGATATTCTTGGGAGCCAGATTCAACGGCGCTAGGGATTGTTTCCCTTGCTCCGGACCGCATCGTCAAAGTCCGGGGGACTGTGTTACAGTTCCTCCAGTCCCCTGTTGCGTCGGCCCGAACATGGCCCGGTTGCTTTCGGCAACATGGCGGCGACAGTGGGCGTGGTTTGGCGTCTTGGCGTTTGAGGATGCGACCAATTCAGCAAGCATTAGCTCAGCTGTGGTCCCCTTTCGCAGGGCTCTGAGATTATGCTCATAACGCCAGAGTGGTTAATCCCTCACTTGCGATGGTGGGCCGGACGTCGGAAATTGTCAGGGGATCCCCTCGACACCCGACACCTTCCCTCTCAGTTCAGGCGGGCGCTCCTCCCTCACAGGTTGGGGGTCCTGGCGAGCACTCAGCCTCCGGCCTCTGGTCGGGCGGGGAGGTCAGCCTACACATCAATGTGTTAGAACTGAGAGCAGTCCGCAAGGTGTTCCAGTGCTTCCGGTGTTGGTGCAGGGCCGTGTGGTTCGTCTAGAAATGGACAATCAAGCGGCCATGTCTTACATTCTCAAGCAAAGGCGGCACAGTGTCTCCGTCGCTCCTTCAGGAGGCATGGCAGTTTCTACTGTGGTGCGATCAGTTCAACATTCGGGTTTTGCCTGTTTATCTCCGGGGGTAGACAAGCGTCCGTGCAGATGCTCTCTCACGGTATACTAGCCCACAGTGGATGCTTTCGACCGGGAGATATTCGAGGGATTATCTCCCAGTTGTTGAATTCGTTCCAGGTGGATCTGTTTGCGTCTGGGGTGACGAACCAGATTCCTGTGTTTTGCTCCCGGATTCGGATCCGGGTGCGTTAATAACGGCGCCTTTCAGCTAGATTGGACCCACAGGGTACTGTGGGCGTTCCCCGATACCACTGATTTCCTGGGTCCTGTCGCAGCTGACCGCACAACCAGCTCGGCTACTTGTGCTTCTGGCACCCCTTTGGTCGGCACAAAGCTGGTTTCGGTAATTCTCAGGTTTCTGGCTCAGCCTCCTGTTCTATTACCTTTTAGACCGGACCTCCTATCCCAGAGCGGGGCCCACCGAATCCCAGGATTCAGTGGGTGGCTTGGCGCTATCAGGGATGCGCCTCCATGCGTGAATTCCTGCACCAGTTGCAGACACAATTCTGGCTTCAGCGGAGGGATTCGACAAACGTTCAATATGAGGATAGATGGGCCTGTTATTCGGGCTGGTGTGTCAACAGGGGGATTCTTGATCCCTTTTCTACAGATTTAGTCTGTGTGTTAGAATTCCTCCAGTCTCGGTTGGAAGCCGGTCTAGCGGCTTCCACTGTTCGGGGATATTCTACGGCTATTTCTGCGTTTCATATTCCTGTTGACGGTGCTCTCTTGGGGCAGCACCCTCTTGTACAGCGCTTTTTAGCAGGCGTGGACAGAATCCGTCCGGTTGTCCGACGGATTAGTCCCCCATGGGACTTGTCAATCGTTCTTGATTGGCTGTCCGGTCCACTGTTTCACAATCTGTCGGCTCTTTCCCTCCAGCTGTTGACGTGGAAGACGGCGTTTCTTGTGGCGGTGACTTCTGGCAGGCAGGTTGGCGATATTCACGCAATGTCGGCCGATCCAGCTTACTGTTTTCACAAAGACAGAGTTAGCATTCGGCTGCCTGAGACTTACCGTCCTAAGAAGGATAGTCCCTTCCATGTGGCGGCCTATTGAGCTCCCAGCTTTCACGCAGCCTTCCTGTCCGGTACCTCTCACGGCGTGCACCGTCTTAGATGTCCGTAAGACACTTCAGGCTTATATCAAAGCGAACAAGGGGTACCCGTAAGGGTAACCAATTGTTTTGTTGTTATGGCGGGGTTCAGGCTGGTCTTCCGGCGACCAAGCAGACCATTTCTCGGTGGCTTGTCTCTGCCATACATATGAGTTATACTCAAACAGGGCGTATCCCGCCTGTTGGGTTGAAAGCTCATTCGGTTAGGGCAGTAGCTACATCGACAGCTTACGCTGCAGCCCTGCCCATTGAGGAGATCTGCTCAGCTGGCTATTTGGAGCCCGTCGAAGCACGTTCATCCGTCATTACCAACTTGACAGACTCTCCAGTGGCGTGCTCGGTTCGGTCAGTCAGTTCTCTCCAGTGGGCATGGTTCCACCTCTCTAGCCGATTGAGCTTTCGAGGTTTTAAAACATTATTGTGTGAACCATTATCTGCCAATTTTTAACACTGGTGTTGGGTTTTACAAATCTTGTTACATTTTTCACTTGGTGATGGGTTTTATGTGGTGCTGGTTTTATTCCCATGTCTCTTGCTTTCTAACCGAAGCTCTAGACTAAACTGCCCTTGGAAACTTTGCTGTTCATATTCCGGCATTTCGTTTCTGGGTTTATTGCGGGACCCTTATCTTCACTTCGGTAGATTACGGGAAGGAGGGAGGGTGTGTCTCGTTCGTTGCATTAGCGAGGTTTAAGCTGGACAAATTTGCATCACGTTTAACCCTGACCCTGGCTCATGCCCCCGCCTGATTGGCTTTGGTGGACCGTGACCCGGGTAAGTGTGCCTTTTCTGCTATAATTAGCTTGGGAAATTCCACTTCTTGTCGGGGTGTTTAAGCAGACAGAATGCCGCTCCTGAGATCCGTCTTTAGGAGTCTGTCTTATGCTTATAAGTACCCCAAGGAGGAATATATAAAAAGAATCGAACTAACCTGTAGAGGTTTAAGATTCTTTGAATATATTCCTCCTTGAAGTCACCCGCCTCCCCGCGCATTCTGTCTGACTTCGTTCAGCATGGAAAGTGAGTCTGAGGTTCACGGTCTAGAGTTACCTGCTCTTGGCTGTAGGGGGCCGGAAGGCCCTGTAAGGGTGGTCTCACAAGACAAAACGTAGTTTTTGTTTTGTAAATATTTTATTCAAATATTGTTACAACTGTCGTAGGGAATTTAAATGGACATTTAAATGCTTATAAGTACCCCAAGGAGGAATATATTCAAAGAATCTTAAACCTCTACAGGTTAGTTCGAATATTCACTGAAGGAATCTATAATGAATTAGAGTAAATTTTAATTTAAAGAAAATAATATATATATATAGCTAAAATCTGAGGTTTTTAGTGAAAGATCATGATACTGAACCATTTTTAGTTTTTACAAAGTATTTGTGCAAACTTGTTTTCACTTTCAGAGGGAATGAGCAATCATCTTCCTAAGCCCCCAGAAAAGGTTTCTAGTGCCAGGAAGGATAGCAATAAATCCACATTTGGTAAGTATGGAAGGGTATAACATTCTTTGTAAATATTGTAAGAAGTTTCATTTAACATCAACCAATAAGAACTCTTGAATGATTAGAAAATAACTTTAATTATTCCCATTTGAAAGTTTATAAGCAATTGGTGACTCACAATTCATTTGCACTGTTTTAAAATACTGAAACTTTAATATTTCAATATCTGTTCCAGAAAAGAGAAGCAATGTGAAAAGATCCACTTTGGCACTGTACGAAGCACTCAAGACAGTTGTTCCATCACAAGATAGAGGAAGGCGTAGTCGCAGCCGTAGTCTCAGTCCCATAAGAGATTCATTGTTGGAGTCATATCCGATGTCAAGATCAAGATCGCCATCGCCTCTACAGCCAAAGAGGCCCAGACTGACAACAGACAGGGTTGGGGATTGTAGACGGCCTCAGTTTGAATATCATGGGCAAGACAATATTAGAGAGGACAGTCCTCGACATGAGTCCAGGAGAAAGTAGGTAGGGTTGTTTTGTTTTTTTGCCAAATAATTTTACATTACTCATGTTTCAGAAAAAAAATATAATTTATTATGTGGTGATAATTTTATTATGTGGTAAGTTAAATTGTTAGGCTCGGCGGGAATATTTAGGGTCGGTCGGAAAGTCAGAGCCACAATCTTCTTCTTTTTTTAGGCCTAACTGATAATGAGATGCTTAATGGGTGGATAAACTGTAAGAATGGTAGGTTTATTATGTATCAAATGGTACATCTGTATTTTTTTCTTGTTTCTATTTGATGTTTTGCTTTCACTTGTACGTTAAAGGTACAGGCACATCATTTTCTCAAGTTACTGTATGTTCTTGGTCTGCTATTCATTATTTCTATTATTTGCATACATTGATGCTTGACCCTCATGTCTGTACAATGGCTGAAAAGTTGAAGATACTATCCCTCAAATGCAGAGGTGTCAACAATAATATGAAAAGAAAGAAAGCATTTCATTTCCCGAAAAAGCTAATATTTATTGTTTACATATTTACACTTTACAGCTGAAGCTATTCAACATATAAAACAATAGGATTACAGCACTACATTAGTCCCTCCATAAAAAATTCCAGGGAACATCTACAATGTTCAACAATAATTTTGAATTCAAGGCTCTAAGTACTATTACAGATGACTATTGAAATTTTGTTGCTACTTCTGTTAGGCCTGTAACGATCGACATGGATAGCAATTGTTGAGTCTCAGATAGCAATTAAATGATGGAAGAAACGAAAACTAGCATGTGTGACTATCGATAGTTTACTAATTGACTACCATTGATAAATGCGCAGCGCAAAATACAGGAAGTACCTGGTTCGTTCACTTTGAGTTATCCGCTCCAGTTAACTCTTACACAAACTTGACCTGGGTTTCAATTTTCTTGTCAGTTATCAAAAGAGACTGAAACTAGTTCAGCATGTATATATTTCATATAAACTATACATTCATTTTCAAGGAGAAAAAACTATTGGTAGTCACCCCTACTTTCTGTTAATATTGATGAATTTAAGTATACTTTTATTAGTATCTATATACCAAATAATGTTGGTCCAGATTTGTTTCCAAAATATTACCGATGCTGTTGGAAAGTTTGAAAATGAAAAAATATTAGTATGTGGAGACTGGAATCTAGTACAAGAGCATTCAAAAGACACATACAACTACAAACACATTCACAATCCCAAGGCTAGACAAAAGGTATTAGACCTAATGGAAGATCTGGGTCTTAAAGACCCTTGGCGTGAACAAAAGTTTGGTGAAATGAGATACACATGGCGACAGACAACCCCTTTGAAACAAGCTAGACTTGATTTCTTTTTAATCTCTCATCAAATGATATTGGACATTAGACACTGTGATATATCACCTAGTTTAGGATCTGGTCACTCCCTCATAGAATCATCACTCTCACTTTCAAATATGCCTCTTGGAAAATTCTGGAAATTTAACAATTTCCCTCCATCATAGGAAGTTATTAATTCCACAATAAATCTTCACTTGATCAATACAAAATCAATGATGATAACAAGGACAATGACTTAACATATTCTATTGATGATCAATTACTATGGGAAACTCTACCATTGATGATTAGAGGAAAGACAATTTGTTATGCCTCAACTCAAAGGAAAATTATGTTGCATACAGAAAACCAGTAGTAATCACAATTAGCCTCCCTGGAAATCAGACTAGATAAATCAGATACAGACATAGCAAAAAATGATATACTAAAGAAATTAACAAAATTAGGACTGGTTTAGACGACATCAATGGAAGGAAAACTAAAGGGAAACTTGAATCCAGAAATTTCTTAAATAAATCCTTTGAAGAATTAGTCAAATTTGATGGAAGAGTCCTAAATGACTTTGATACTAAAAAGAGGTGAAATATTTTAATGAAAAACTACATACACAAGATGTAAGTCCTATAGATCTTGATGAACTTTTAAAAGATATTACCCTACCAAAACTAAGTAATGAACAAACAACTAGTATTGAGGTGGTTTAATAAGAGGAGAAGTTTGAAAGTGATGAAAGTGCAGTTTTGCAACAGAATTTAAAAAAAGGTTTTGAATGTTCTTGGCAAATTTATGGTTAAACCTCTGAATTTTGCATTTCAAACTTGAAATTTGTCTGTCTTCCAGAAACAGTGACTTATAACATGTATTCCAAAAGGAAATAAGCCTAAAAGGTTTTTAAAGAACTGGTGAGGTGACCCATCTTGTTTCTTAATGTTTTTGCAAGACTGCTGCTGCAGCCATTGGCAACAGAATTAAGCCTCTTCTTTCACATATCACTAATGAAGACCAAAAGGTCTTTATTGTTGGAAGACACAAGATCAAGATTAAGTTATGCAAAGTCTGGTCTCGCACTGAATATACCCTTTTAGGTATTCATTTTGGGATAGATTTAGATAGTATGGTTGAAAAAAATTGTTCTGATAGATTGACTCAAATTACGAAAGAGATGACCACCTGGTCAGCACAAATGCTCACTCCCTTTGGAAGAAACACAGTTTTGAAATCACTCATGTTTCCTGAATTAAATCACCTATTTGCTGCACTCCCAAATCATCCAGATCATGTTTTAGATAAACTTCCAAAGCTATGTTTAACATTTATTTGGGAAGGAAATCCAGACAAAAGGGACATTATTATATGTTTCCTTGAACATGGTGGATTAAAGGTACTAAAAATCAAAGAGACAATTGCTGCCCAAAAGCTTGGATAGGTAAGAATATTGTTTTTTATAAATCAAATAGGTGGGGTTATCTTAACATTTGAAATTTACCTCTGCAGATAGTAAATACATTAACCTGGAACCTTAACTAATCAGTTTTGGAAGCATGTATTACTTCCTTGGGCTTGGTTCACATCTAAGCAAAAAGATACTAGTACAAGTGAATTTGAAATCCAGTCACAGTCTATGTGGTGTAACAATCACATATTGGTAGATAACAAACCTATTCTGTATAAATATTGGTATAACAAGGGAGTTGTGTTTGTATCTGACATGTTAACAGCAGAAGGGAATTTTCTATCCTTTGATATCTTTATAGATCTATATAAACTCAGAACTAATTTCCTGACCTTTGAAGGAGTTCAAACAAGCAATTATTACATGCATGTTAAAGGTAAATATTTCATATTTTACAACTCTAAACATTAAACCGACCCTCAAAACTAAAATTCAGTGAAAAGGGTAGCCCATATTTCTATGAAACACTCCTATGCTCTCAATTTATAACTGAACACTGTAATAAAAAACAACTGGGATAGCTTTAATCTAAATCTACCAAAGGACTGTGAAGTATGTAATATTACCCCATGGAAGGGCACCTATAGCGCTGATCTAAGATGGTTACAATACAGAATTATCCATAACATTCTACATACAAAACAGTTTTTGTTTAAGATCAAGTATATAGACTCTCCCATTTGTAGTTTCTGTAAATATAACATTGAATCAATTACCCATCTATTTTGGGACTGTGAAACTGTTCAAGATATCTGGAAAAAACTCCAGTCATGGCTCTTAACTGACTTGAATATTCAGTTACTTTTCACAAAACGGAATGTTTTACTTGGTTTTAAAGGAAAAAATAATAATGAAGTTAATGCAGATCCCTTCCTCCCTCCACACACATCTACTCACGTGCACTCACATGCACATGCACGTGCACACACACACACACACACACTATTGAAGCTATGGTGCTATCTAATGGGACTTTTTCCTGTAGAAATATCATAGATTTGTATTGTATACTTGTATATCAGCAAAATTGTACCTAAGAACCTCACGCATTGACTACATGTAATGTTCCTGTACATAAGTGGAAAAAAGGAAGTGGGTATAAATGTGATTGATCATATCAGGATCCTTATTATTTTGCTTCAGGATTTCAAAAGAGAGTACTCCAATTACTTTTGGAAATAAGGTCCCATGTGAAAAAGGTGTCCATTCAACAGACTTCCAATGACAATTACCAAATAAGGCCTGCCGATACAATGGAGGAATTCATGGAGTTGGAAGAAAAGTTGGCAGATCCGGAAGAACAGAATCTTTTGGTATATTTTTGTGTTTTACTATTCTCTCTCATTTTGGCAAAAGCATTTATGCATTCCACTACTAAATGTTTGATGACTTATTCATTTTTTTGTTTCATTTGGATTATAATAAATCTGTAAATAAAGATTAAGATGTTTGTTATGTAAACCCCCAAGAACTTTTATTTATTGATAAAATATATAACTTCACTAATGATTCCTTCATGGGATGATAAACAAACCACAGACTTTAATTCTTACACTGATTTGGAAGGGATGTGATGATGTATATCCCTCTTAATGGTTGAAATGTTACAGATAATTTAGAAGGAATTTTTAAAGGAAGTTTTAAATATGAAAAGTAAAATTTTTCTTTAATGGAATTTGCAGAAATCTCATCTTCAAAAATTGGGCGGGACCAATTTTGTAGATCATATGAAGAGAGCAATGCTAAGGTAACAAGTTTTTAACATTTCGGTTGTTTACTTATTATCTCCTTCAGAAAGTTTAAGAGACAGATGATAATGCACTTTAATTACCACCCATTTTGTTTTGTCATCCTTTAATGTAAAGTATGGCTTTGTTACAATTTATTTATGACTCCTTTACAAATATTGCTACATCAGGAGAACACCTATTCATTTTTAAATAATAATTTCTAGCAATCTCTAAATATAACTAAATCTGACAGAATATCAACAAACTTCCATTATTTTGCAGGACAATGTCGAACAAATTAATGTCGGTTATGAATGTTGATGGACGCAATGGCAAGGTTTCTTTCAAGAACACGAGGTTGTTTACTGTTGTCTCTGGTAAGTTAATTTAAGTGCTTTTCGTCACCATTTTCATCATGACCATAGCAAATATATATGGCTGATTCCAACGAATAGTGTACACAGCATGTTTAGGCACATCACAATTTAGCATTACTATCTTCACTTATTTCGGGGTGCCCATCACGTCGGCACACCTGAGACGATTTGGGCCATATATAACATGACTATTTTTTATTAAAAATTAAGCTTATGGGAGACAAAAACAGGTCATTTTCATTCATTTTGACTTATATTTTGCAAATGTTTTGTTGAAAACGTGTTAAATACTAGTCAAACTGAATGAACAGAAGTTTATATATCTGATTGCCAAATATTTCATGAATAAATGCCCTGAAATGATTTTGTCTAGGGCTTAATTCGTAATTTTGGTAATTTGTTTTCAAGTGGTATCTTTTGCGTTACCTACTAATACAGTTTTCAATGACTCTGTCAATTTATGTAAATTCAACACAAGGTTATGTTTGTATTACTTTCTACAGCATTAATATGTAAAGTACTCAAATGCAATGACGTTACGTAATATTTCTTAACAGTAATAATCTAAAAAAATGTTAGAAAGTCAAAGTCTAATTTGGTTAAAAAAATCATGTTACCTACAAATACCATTTAATATGCTGCTGTTTCCACAGATGAACACATTTGTGAATGATATCCTAAGTTCAAGTGCAAAGGGCCACAATATATACGTGGGTTACATCTGTACATTTTCTGTGCCGTTTTTACGAGGATATCACACAAAATAACCTGTATTCGTGGGTAAATTTTAACTCCCAAATGTTACCTACAAGTACCAACAACTGATCACATTCAGTTAGAGCGGTGGAATGAAAACACGTGACATGTGTTCCATTTAGAAGTTTTAAGTCTTATTATTGTAACAAAAAACCTCAGACTGCAAGTGGAACTGACATGGGGGCTCAAATTGGTAAGACATAGTGTCGCTCTGGGATTTCCCCGGTTGTGGCTCATGGTATTTGTACGTAACATGTATTCGTTGTTAAAAAAGTGAAATTGAGAACACAATACGCTACTATAACGTAATTTATACTGAAGACAATTATTGCAGATCATAAGTAAACTGATCAGGTACGCAGTACTGCCTATTAAAAATGGTTCCTTGGAATTTCAAATGGCTACATAACTGAGCGTTCAATAAAAAAAATTCTATTCAAGGATGCACTGCAGTTCGTGGTTCAGACTTTATTATAATGATATAATGAACTCTTTTTGATTGTGAAATGTCAGAAAACAAGTTCATCTTGGTGATAAAAGCTAAAAATTGCATGATGTCACGCGATCAACGGTTGGTTAGTTGGTAACATGTTGATTTGTTGGTAACATTCCGTATTTGTAGGTAACATCAGTCAGTGTGTTTGAGGTTGCAAGTTTTGTTCAGGGCTGTAAGTCTTGGTCAGGGCTGTCACCGATGCACTTGCGAACATAGGATAATCGAGTCTGTAGTGGAAGTTAGTTGCATGGGTTTAGTAATTAGATTTGTCAAAGGTATGTCTTATTCGTAGGTATTTGTTTTTGTAGTTGAAACTTTCTGTAAATGTCTATCTTATAGCAATTGTCATTGCAAAACATGGGTAATTAAAGCAGAGTTATGGTTCAGTTAGACGCATAATGAATTGATTGTTTTATGTTTTAGTGACATGTTTACCTGTATATGGTATACAGTAATAGTTCAAGAGTTTTAATTATTTGTGATGTGCTTTCTTTGAATACAAATGTCAGTTAAAACATTAGGTAAATAAAATTTCAGGTGTATAGATTTTATTTCAATTTCCGTACTTCTAAAAGTTTAGACTCACTAGTGTAAATATAGCCACTTACTTCAGGCGACTGTTTTAAACTAAATTTTGCAAAATATTCCATACTGTTTAAAGGAACTGTTTACACATGAACTGATGTATTGTAAAACAAATTTGTAACGTTCAAAACATTATTGTCACAAGTTCAATAAATGATAAAAATCAGTGCGAATTGGCGAATTCTGAATAAAACTTTACACCAAATGCAGCTGTTCACGTGTAAGATATTTGTACATGCTTTTCAGCAATTTGTTGCATGATCCTCGTGCAATTCATCTGCATAAGGTTTGCAGTTGGTTTTCAAACTCTCTCTCTCTATATATATATATGTACTCAAATACATTCTAGTGAGTATAAACTTTTGATGAGAAGTATATTTCCATCAGTTAAAATGACATTGTTACTATCTGACATACACTGAGACAAAACAAAGAGTAAGCCTTAAACCGGTTGTAAACAATCTTTATTCACATGTCCTATGCACTTAGGTGAGGTGAAATTGGGTTTAACGTCGTGCTTGAGAATATTTCGCCCATATGACGACCTATGCACTTAGATAAACAATTTCCAAACTGTTCGATGCTTTAATAAAACAGCTATGATTTAGTTTGACATATATAAACATTTATGAAATACAAGGAATTATGTGATATTTGTTACCTACAAGTACATTGTACTTATCTTCCACCGAAAATTTAGTTTTTGATGCATTTTCAAATTTGTTGTACTTACCGAAAGTTCCACCTGTTGTCTCTCAGATGAATAAGATAGATATGTACTACTTATTTGTTTGTGAAAAGAACACTGAGTGATGTTATCTCACTTACATCAAACAAAGGGACCAAAATGGTTTTATTTTCGTAAAGCTTGAGGTTATTAAACATGAAAGAAACCATGATATGGCTTCAGACTTCCTATAGTCATTTTCTGGTGTCCCCCGCCGTGATATTGCTGGAATATTGCTAAAAGCGGCGTAAAACCAAAACTCAGGCAGTCAGTCAGTCCTACAGTCATTAACATATTGTGCATGCAGAACAACAGTGAATTTGGATGTTGGGCAACATACAATCCATCAAATCACAGGATATACAAGGTATGATGTTGGTATTTGTAGGTAATTCAGAAAATTAGCCTTCAACTTCATAGATCCACCAACTTATCACTTTTAGAGATTAGTGATGGCAACTGATTTTCATAAGAGGCTAATATGGTGACTTTACATTGGTAAAAAGAATTACAAGGTGCAAGCAATTCTATTTTGGACCCCTTGTACCCAGCTGTGTACACTTTTCATTGGATTCGACCATATATATAAAAGTAAAGTTTTAAGTCTTCAATAGTCATCAATACAAATTTGATTGAATAATCAGTTTGCAGTTGAGAATTTTTAATGTTTAAGAAGACTTCTATTCCTTTAGTTAAAAATATAAATTGTTTACACTATAAAAATACTTCCTTCATATATTGTATGGATCCTGTAGTTGCAGCAGCGAAATGAAAATTTCAAGTGATTGATTTAACAAATACTTGAATCATTTAAGACAACATATATCTTCCATATACAATTTAATACATATTTTATATTCAGAATGTGTCCTATCTCAGGATGAAAATGCAACTGAAACAAGTTTTAAGAAAGAGTTGGGTACCTTTCTTAAATATGCCCCTGACCGTCAGGGTGGGAGAGGAAGAAAGAAGATAAGCTAGCAATGCTGCTTTTGGATTTGTAATGGTGTTTAAAATCGTTCCTCACAGTGATTGTACACAGGGTGGAAGTGCTGTCCACACTGAATGTGGAGTTGCCCCAAAAGCAACTCCTTTTCCTCGCTGGACAGTGAAAGAAGGACACGTGGCGCAAGAGTGAAAGTAGGATTTTTCCCGCATTTTCATTATTTTGCAAGTATATCAGGTTTTGCCATTTGGCAGAAGGATCTAGAAAGTTACAGATCTTTCTGTAATTGCTTGACACCCTCTATATTTAATGCAATCGCGCGTTAATCAAGGGCACCCTCTTTAGTATTGAAACAAGATCGCAGAAAATGATCGTTTCAACACGAAATATGACATCCTCATCAGCAGACACACATTTTTTGCTGTCAATTCTTAGATATAGTGAATTTAGGTCTTCATTTGCAGTTTAGGCTTTAATGTGTCAGTATATTTTCAGTTATCGTCGAAGAATCAAACTGTACATTTTATATGGAGTTGCTCTCATGTAGCAAACAAACTGTCCATTGCGTTGTGATTTTACTGTCCAGGAGTTGACTGTTCATAGTTTTAACCGTCAGCCTTGGCATGCTATGCGTTTCAGTAGCTGTTTAATTTTTTGAACGATTGCAAGGGCAGGAGTTGAGCTTTCCAAAGTGACAGTATTGTGTGGCATTCATTTGCTCTGTTTCTCTTTCCCGGAATGCATGTACAACAACGTATTGCACGTCTCAAGGACGAACCAACTGACGTACGGGACGTGGCACGTGCATGCATGTTGGATACATGTCACTAATCTCTGAGTTTAAATCCTTATGTGTCTACACAGGTTTGATAAATTTAGAAATTTAAATTTTTGTATGCACAGTTTCTTTATGTGCCTAGTATAGTTGCAAATTAATGCAAATGCGAGCGAAGACTTACCCTAACTCTTGCACCACGTGTTATTCTTTCACTCGGGACTTTTTCAACCTTTTCAAGATAACAATACAACAGTAAACAGTTTTCCTTAATTTGGAATACCCTTTGCTTCTTACTGGAATTATATTTCCAACTGACATATAACTTAAAAGGACAGATCATTGAATGTGAAAATTTAACCAAGTATTTTATGAGGTAAATATTTTTACTGTAATTTTCGGGTTCACTGTTTATTTCAAGTAGCTTTTTTATCCACCCGGCATGTAATGTATATATCAAACAGAACCTAAGGTGGTGCCTTTTACTAATTACAGATTTTTGTCATTTTTAATTTTCTCGGTTTCCATGGAAATGTTTTGGACTTAGTCTTAAAGGGGGGTGGCCTTCGTTTCTGGAGCATAACTCGAAAACCGTTCAATATTTTTCAACAAAACTTGGTAGATATATCAAACAGAACCTTAAGTGGTGCCTTTTGCTGTTTCCAGATTTTTATCATTTTAATTTTTCCCGGGTTCCATGGAAACGATTCGGAAAAAGTCCCAAAGGGAAGGGTGGGTTTCGTTTCGGAGCACAACTGGAAAACTTCTTAATTATCTTTCAGCAAAACTTGGCATATATATGAGGCAGATCCCAAAGTGGTGCCTTTCGCTATTTACAGACTTTTGTGATTCTTAATTTCTCGGTTTCCATGGAAACGATTTGAACTTAGTCCCAAAAGGGAGGAGTGGGCTACATTTCCGGAGCATAAATCAAGAACCATTCAATATTTTTCAACAAAACTTGGTAGATATATCAAACAGAACCGTAAGTGGTGCCTTTTGCTATTTGCAGATTTTTGGCATTTTTATTTTCCCCGGCTTTCATGGAAACGATTCGGACTTAGTCCCAAGAGTGAGGGGTAGGTTTCGTTTCCGGAGCACAAATCAAAATCTTCTTAGTATCTTTCAGTACAACTTGGCAGATATGTGAGGCATATCTTGAAGTGGTGCCTTTTGTTATTTGCAGATTTTTGTCATTTATGTTTTTCATGATTTCCATGGAAACGATTTGCACTTAGTGTAAAATCAAGCTGGACTTTGAGTAACTGTGAGATTATTTGTTCTTTCAAAGATGTGGGGCCGGGGATATGTCATCTTCTGATGGCTCTTGTTTGGGCATGTTAATTGGATACAGGATAGTGTATGCAAGTTTTTAACAGAAATTGGATTAAAAGTATTGTTACCTTGGTTGAATTTTCACGTTTTTACGTTAGATTTCTATGTAAAAAACACACTGATGCACAACACGAAAACAAGCCATTTGCAAGGTTGATAATAGGTGAGGAGAGGTGAAATTGGGTTTAATGCGTACTCGAGAATATTTCGCTCATATGACGACGTGCATGCGTGTGTATGTGCGGCTGCTTGTGCTAGCCCAGATTTAAGCTGGTTTTATGGTGCTAGCCCACTGAGATACCATACCACAGTGAAGCATGAATACCCCACTCAGACACATTATACTGACTCTGAGCCGACCAGTCCTTGTTGTACCCATTAATGCCGAGCGCCAGGCTGGGACCAACAAGTACCATTGACGCGGTCGGGGATCGAACCCGCGAGCTTCCGCTCTCCAGGCGGACTCTAACCACTACACCACGGTGGCGGTTCGTTGATAATAGGTCAAACTTCAATGTTGATTCTACGTCGGATATCTACGTCTAAAAAACTTTCATATACAACCTATTTTCAACGTTGATAATAGGTAAAAACTTCAACGTTGATTCCACGTCGGATATCTACGTCTAAAAAACTTTCATATACAACCTATTTTCAACGTTGATAATAGGTCCATCTTCAACGTTGATTCCACGTCGGATATCTACGTCTAAAAAACTTTCATATACAACCTATTTTCAACGTTGATAATAGGTCCATCTTCAACGTTGATTCCACGTCGGATATCTACGTCAAAAAAACTTTCACATACAACCTATTTTCAACGTTGATAAAAGGTCCATCTTCAACGTTGATTCCAGGTCAGATATCTACGTAAAAAAAACTTTCGTATACAACCTATTTTCAACCTAATTTCTACGTTGAGGAACAACCTATTCTCAACGTTGAAACAACGTTTATGTGCCCACTGGGAAGCTTCTACTTCGAGACAATCGTACGTTCGACAACGATATTCGACTGTATTTTACCACGTGGTGCCATATTTAACAATATTCTACATGGAGTCTATGGAATTACATTCACAGTTACACACTCTATACAGGGTATTGTTTGCAAACGTGGTAAGAGCTGATCATGTGATATTCTTGATGTTTAACTGCAGAACATACGTTTTTATCCCCCGCAACGCGTTTTGCGGGGGGTATTAAAATGGACTCCGTCCGTCCGTGCACATTTGTCTTTTCCGGAGCAGAACTCTAAAACCGTTCAATATTTCTTCACAAAACTTGGCACATACATGGATCTGGTGGTGTTGTGGTGCCTTTTGGTAGTTTTGGAATTCTGAATCAAATATTTTTGGCGTTTCCATGGCACAAGTTCGACTTAGACTGAAATTGGTGGTAGCGCTCTTTTCCGGAGCAGAACTCCAAAACCGTTCAATATGTCTTCACCAAACTTGGCACATAGATTGATCTGGTGGTGTTGTGGTGCCTTTTGGTAGTTTTGGAATTCTGAATCAAATATTTTTGGCGTTTCCATGGCACAAGTTCGACTTAGACTGAAATTGGTGGTAGCGCTCTTTTCCGGAGCAGAACTCCAAAACCGTTCAATATGTCTTCACCAAACTTGGCACATAGATAGATCTGGTGGTGTAGTGGTGCCTTTTGGTAGTTTTGGAATTCTGAATAAAATATTTTTGGGGTTTCCATGGCACAAGTTCGACTTAGACTGAAATTGGTGGTAGTGCTCTTTTCCGGAGCAGAACTCTAAAACCGTTCAATATGTCTTCACCAAACTTGGCACATAGATAGATCTGGTGGTGTAGTGGTGCCTTTTGGTAGTTTTGGAATTCTGAATTAAAATATTTTTGGCGTTTCCATGGCAACAAGTTCGACTTAGCCTGAAATTGGTGGTAGTGCTCTTTTCTGGAGCAGAACTGTAAAACCGTTCAATATGTCGTCACCAAACATGGCACATAGATTGATCTGGTGGTGTACTGGTGCCTTTTGGTAGTTTTGGAATTCTGAATCAAATATTTTTGGCGTTTCCATGGCACAAGTTCGACTTAGACTGAAATTGGTGGTAGTGCTCTTTTCCGGAGCAGAACTCTAAAACCGTTCAATATGTCTTCACCAAACTTGGCACATAGATAGATCTGGTGGTGTAGTGGTGCCTTTTGGTAGTTTTGGAATTCTGAATTAAAATATTTTTGGCATTTCCATGGCAACAAGTTCGACTTAGCCTGAAATTGGTGGTAGTGCTCTTTTCCAGAGCAGAACTCTAAAACCGTTCAATATGTCGTCACCAAACATGGCACATAGATTGATCTGGTGGTGTAGTGGTGCCTTTTGGTAGTTTTGGAATTCTGAATAAAATATTTTTGGCGTTTCCATGGCAACAAGTTTGACTTAGACTGAAATTGGTGGTTGTGCTCTTTTCCGAAGCAGAACTCTAACACCGTTCAATATTTCTTCACCAAACATGGCACATAGATAGATCTGGTGGTGTACTGGTGCCTTTTGGTAGTTTTGGAATTCTGAATAAAATATTTTTGGCATTTCCATGGCAACAAGTTTGACTTACACTGAAATTGGTGATAGTGCTCCTTTCTGGAGCAGAACTTTTAAACCCTTTCAATACTCTCCTTCCACTTTTCTATGTACACACCTAAATATTTGACATAATCATAACTCGTAGACATAATCATGAAGAGTATTTTGCCATTGCGGGGGATATTGATGACTTTGTCTTCTTGTTCACATTTGAATGAAGTTTCACATTTTTATACCACCAATATTGTATCGTCCATACATTTAAAGTTGAATGTCTTTGTCTGGATATGAGCATGTATCTTAACCACAAAGAATCGCGTATGATCTGGTTTCAACACAATCCCAAATACGATTGTGAAATGGATCCATGCAGGCTACTGCTGTTTAAGAAAGAGTGAGTGAGTGAGTTTAGTTTTACGCCGCACTCAGCAATATTCCAGCTATATGGCGGCGGTCTGTAAATAATCGAGTCTGGACCAGACAATCCAGTGATCAACAGCACGAGCATCGATCTGCGCAATTGGGAACCGATGACATGTTTCAACCAAGTCAGCGAGCCTGACCACCCGATCCCGTTAGTCGCCTCTTACGACAAGCAAAGTCGCCTTTTATGGCAAGCATGGGTTGCTGAAGACCTATTCTACCCCGGATCTTCACGGGTCGTTTAAGAAGGAACAGACGTTACTACAGAAAGGTAAGGAATAAGTTGTACTTAATCATTAAAGCTATGTTCACTGGAATCAAATGGTTACACGGTTATGAAGCCTAACTGTAAAAGAATGTTCTTGACTTTAAGTTAGTACTAACAACGAAGTTTGAAATGGTCAAAATAGCGATGAGTTGTTTCATTGCTAGCTGTTTATCAATAGCAACATGAATGATTTAATTGGATCTTTCCCTCTTTATGTGTTTGTTCGACTGACTTTCGTTCGTTCAGTTGCAGAATGAACGGTAGTAAACAGATAAATTGGACAATATTTGAAAGAATGAAAATAGTCACCTTGAGAAATCCGGGCATGTCATGGAGAAATGTTAAACGTTACATGGCCAGGCGCAAAGATTGTTCAGTTTCCGTTCAAGCTGCTACTGCAGTTAACGACCGTAGTAGCTCTGGCAGACCAAACTGTACCACAAGACATGAACACTGCCACATCAGAAAAGGGTGCTTAGAGACCGTCACGCTACTCTCAGCAATCTGCGTAGTCGATTACGCAGCACACCTGGTTGGCGTACAAGTCACATTACCATCGCTCGCAGATTCCATCACTTTGGCATCCGACGTTACATTCCAAGGAGGAAGCCACTTCTGAACACAGTACAAAAAGCGATTTCTCTAGGGAAAGCAACACAGACACCTTCGGGTTTAGGGTTGGAACAAGGTCTTCTTCTCAGATTAATCCATCTTATGATGTTTCACTTGCCGTAAGAGAATGAAAGGAAGGCGTTTCTCACATGAAAGATGCCGCCATTATTGTCTACAGTCAACTGTGAAACACCCACCTCAGGTTCGCGTTTCGGAGATGACTTCGCCAAATGGTTCAGGATTCTGGAAAAGTGCTAGCTAGCTATTCTCGAAACGTTCGTAGCCCTACGAACGTCTTAAGCCCATTCTTAACACATTGGCTATGATCAAAGTTAAGAATTCTTAGGGCTACGAACGTTTCGAGAATCAAGGCCCAGGGCACCCTGAATACCAAAAGATATCAATTTACAGTTTCCAGAAAGATGAATAACCCCTCTCATAATTCACGTTCAACTAGCAGATCCTTGGCTGCCAACGGTGTGAAACTGCTTGATTGGCCTGGAAATTCACCTGACATGAATAATATTGAATGCCTGCGGAATATTATTGGGAACAAAATTGCAAGGGATATTCCAACATCCAGCAACTCTGGGAATTAGCAAAGAAACAATAGTCCCATACAAAAGGCACCCTCCAACCATTATACAAGAACAAGAAGAGTCAAGGCAGTATTGCATGACAAGGGTTGGAATATCTAGTACTTGTGGGGCAGCTTGATGAACTATTATCTGAAACTTTGAATATTTGTTTAATTCCAGCTACACTTTGGAAATAAATCACGATTCCTGAGTTTAACGCACTTTTGTTCAGCAGCTGTATGGTGTGCTTATGAGTTTGTGTTGTGATGAGAAATTGCATCAATGATTTAGCACTGAGGGGTAAGCGGGCTTTAATGGAAGTAATAAGTAATTTAAATGGAATTGGAATAGTAGACCCCAGTGTGTATTTTAAGATATTTGATGCGCAGATACAGCCGATATTACTGTATGGGGCAGAAATCTGGGGAATACATAAATTTGATGAAATTGAAAAGGTTCATCTAACAGCTTGCAAACGTTTCTTGAATGTCAGCCCTCAAACACCTACTGCTATTGTATATGGCGAGAGGGGCGGTGAGGTAGCCTAATGGTTAAGGCGTTGGCTCGTCACGCCGAAGACCCGGGTTCGAATTCCCACATGGGTACAATGTGTTAAGCCCATTTCTGGTGTCCCCCGCCGTGATGTTGCTGGAATATTGCTAAAAGCGGCGTAAAACCAAACTCAGTCAGTCAGTCAGTCAGTCAGTATATGGCGAGTGTGGAAGATTTCTTCTCTTTATAAATGCATTGTGTAAAACTGTAAAATATTGGTTAAAGGTTATTCATATGCATCAAGATAGAACTCCCTTGAAAGTGTACAAAATGCAAATGTATTACGATAACTGTGGATATAAGACATATGCTTCATATATTAGAGAAATACTTTTTTCACATGGATTTGGTTACGTCTGGATGTCTTAGACAGTTGGTGATGCAACTTCATTTGTAAATAGATTCAAGACTGTTGCAATCAATATGTTTTTTTAATCATGGAATTGTACATTGAATAACACTTCAAGATACCGTATTTACCGAGAGTTTAAAAGTCTGTTAACTCCAGAAATATATTTATCATGTATCTTGGACAAAAAGGTTTCGACATATCTTGATCAAATTTAGATGTGGGTTATTAAGGTTAACTCCCTTAGATTAAAATACTTGCCATATGTATATCAGAAACAACCAAACTACTACAAATTTAAGTCCCTGTTATCAACAAATAATGAAACACTTTTAAGAAATTTATGTAAATATATCTTTCATGCTTATAAAATCAGAGCAATCAAACTCCAATAAATTTTCTTTAAACCACACATTTTTCCATTGTAAATGTTTATAAAGGCGTGTATATGTGTTTATATTAAATATTATATTTATACTGACAAGAAATCTATTTGAACAAATAACACGTGTATTATTGATATGTATGCCCTTTAAGGTGTATCTATACTTGTAAACAAATGTATGTATGTTGTATATGGGCCTGTGGCCTACATACGGAATAAAAATACATGACTTGACTTGTGTTAGCCTGCCTGCCTGTTTGTCCGTTCATAATGACCTAATTAGTATTGTTTTAGAGAACATTAATGTTTCGGGTTTCAGAAAGTACGAAGAATATTTAAAGGCTACACTGGCGTTTAGGGTAACCCGATTACCATTTTTTGGTCCCAGGTGCATTTCTCATCCCTTACATCGCCTGTATGACGCTGTGTGGCTTGCCTCTGTTCTATCTTGAAGTTGCCATTGGGCAGTTTTGTGGGAAGGGTGCAGCCCATGTGTGGAGTCTGTGTCCACTTGTAAAAGGTTGGCTTCTTATTTTGTCTGTTTGACACTTGATGACACCATACAACTAAACGTTCCACTTTAAACAAACCATTTCAGTATGTCATAAATCTAACAAGTGCATCTGAATTATAGTTCCAGCATATTCACAAAACACAAAACAAAATCGTAAATATATTTGCATATGAGTGAATGAGTTAAAGTTGAACGTCACAAGGGCAGAATTTCAGCCATAACGTGACGAGTTTTGCTATTTAACGCTCATCAATAAATATAGTCCATAATGATATTTCACTGCATATCTTTAATCAACACACAAGTGTGTATAAACCTTCTTTATCAGGCCAGTAGGTAACAATGATACAGTTTTCCCAGAAATTATTGAGAAAATCTTTGTTTCCTAATACTGATAATATAATTTTATAATAGGTGTTACATTATGTAGTAAGTACTCAATATGGGAGGCAACTCTTGTAGGCCTAAGAATGAACCTTACTACATCAAGAGTCATCTCCCCTGGTGTAACAGACGACTTCCTTTGTTGACATGGCAGATTTAACAGCAGAAGAGAAAAGAAAGCTGGTTTCAAAAGATTTTGAAATGTGTGTGACTAATGCAAAAGAGTTATCTGGTAGACATGACATTCCCCTGTCTACAGTATACAAAACTTTGAAGAAACTTCAGTCAGGAGTTGGGATTGAGCGCAGGGGCAGGAACTTGGTCAGATTGCGAGTAGGGGAAAATTGAGAATATTAGGTATGTGATGAAACACACAATTACAAAGACATAACTGGGTGAAAAAGCGCAGAATTTCCTCAGCATTGGAAAGACGTTAAGACTCGTGTAGGGCTCACGAAAATCAACATTGGGATAAAGTTTTCTTTTCTGATATTTGTCTGGATATTTTCGGACTGTGTCAAAATTTGGACAAAATATACCGGGAAACCTATCTACCAACTCCCAAAAATAATAGCAAGAACTTTCACGTGTGGTATGGGATATCATCACGTGTGTATTTTCACTGGAAATTTGACGAAAGAACGATATGTTGACATCTTAAATGATCATCTCCTTCCAACAGTGTTTCCAACATGAGAACGACCCAAAACACACTGCGGGCTACACAAAACAGTGATTGTGGGACGAAAATGGTCAAGTTTTAGTCTGGCGCAGCTACAGCCTAGATCTTAACCCTATTGAGAATGTGTGGGGACTAATGCAAGTCAGAATAAACCAAAAAGGACTTAGACATGTTGAGGATATGAAGAAAGAAGTGGTCGAATGTTGGCATACGCTGTCACACGATTTTCACAAACTTTGATCAGTAGTGTACCTAAACGCATTCAGTCGTGTATTGCAGGACAAAGTTGTCCCACAAAGTACTGTAAAGGGACTTAGACTGTAACAGAATCATATTTGCCGAAACAACTTTCTCAATATTTTCTGGAAATACTATATATCACTGTGCACATTATCTGGGAACACAATTCCATGTTTTTACTATATATGTTTCAGGTCTTGGACTCGGCATGCTCATTATGTGTGGTGGAACGGCCCTTTACCACACTATGAACTGTGCCTGGTCCGTGTACTATGCAGTCTTTGCCTGCAGAACCATCCTGCCCTGGGCAAACTGTAACAACTCCTGGAACACCGACACCTGTGTTAAAAGTGTTAAAGCATTGGCAGACCCGTTTGCTGAAGGTAGAACACGATGACAGTCTTTTCCACTATGCATATGATAAATGTATCACAAGCATTGTAAACGCAGTCGTGTTATTAAAGTGACACTACCTGTCGAGCAGATCTGTGAATTGGTTTGTTTGATGAAATACATCATGCTGTCGGAATTAATGTTGGTTAATGTAAATGTGCATATGTGTAAGGGTGGATCTGTTAATATATACTACCGGAATAAAGTAACTGTCCAATATTATTGTGAATGTTGACAGGATGTTATCGAAATCTGTATGATTTGCTACTAGGCATCGTGACATGCTCTTGAAGAGATGTGATGTCAAAAGTCAGTTCACAAATTCAGTATCGTGTGTGTCCACCATTAGCGTTGATGCAGGTTTGACAACGACAAACCAAGGCGATTGAAGAAAGCTTGGGGAACGTTGTTCCATGTCTGAACCAAAGCTTGTCCCAATACAATTCAGCTAACGTCAATTGCTGAATCTGGGTTTGACGTAAACGTCGCTCCATTTCATCCCAAGCGTGTTCGATAGGGGGCAGGTCCAGGGAAACATCTGGTCAGGGGAGTACCGGAATATTCAGGAAATATGTCACGAGCGACATATGGACGGGCATTATCTTGCAGAAGTGCGAACATCTCTGTCCGTGAATAAACGGCTGCACACGAAACCCAATGATCTCTGTATAGCAGACCTGTCACATTGACAAAGACAAGTTGTGTCCGACCATGAGATGTGATGCCACTCCAGACGCTGATTTTCTGTGAGCCGTGGCGTGACGTACGCGCAGTTTAGGTTGAAATTAACGTGTTATCCACAACATTAAGGGGCCAGATAATAATCAACCGTTCTTCAATATCCGGTGTGTGATCTTCAGATGTCAAAAAGCATGCAAAAAGTAAGTTCATTGTGCACTAACTGCACGTGCCACGCCCGACACGTGGCATCACATTTCATGCAAAGTGCTTTGCAACATGTTTATTTAGAATTAGTTTTATAATATTGCATAGATCTATACTCATGATGTTGATCACTGGATTGTCTGGTCAGACCGCCGCCATTAAGCTGGAATATTGCTGAGTGCGGCGTTTAACAACTAACCAACAAAAATGAAGCGCATCCTTTCACGATACGTTCCACTGACAAATCAGTGTGACTATTTGTGTATGTCCCTTTCACTATAAAGAATATCAAGGGTTGAATTATAATCCCACTGGGTTACAGGTATATTTTTTTAATTTCAGCAGGCAATATCACAGGAACGAATGGGACCCTTGTCAACATGATACTCACTGCACACAACACCACAGATCTTAGCAAAAGCTGGGGAACAAACAAAACCGTATATCACACAGCAGCCGAAGAATTCTGGAAGTATTTACATTTATAATATCTGGCGTTTCTCAGTTTGGTGAACTAAAGTAGAATATAATATGTTTACAAGTCATACTTTGTATGGTAGCGATTATTAACTCTTGTTCTTTTCCTAGTAAAAATTGTCTTCTGAGTGATGACCCTTAGCTGTGTATTTAGTTGTAAAACGAGGAAAACAGTTACATTTGAATTCCATGTTTAGAATAGTTATTCACTTACCATCAGTTCACCTTCGAGTTACTGGTTAGAGCTGGAGTTGAATTGATAGATTAGAAGGCCAGTATCTGTGACTTGTTTGACACCGCGTTATAGTAATCGGCCGTGGATCATCAATCATACCAAACACTGGTGATTCAGATATATTATTGCTGAGAATATGTTCAAAGAAATTAAACTTCTAAGTCTATACTTTGTTTGGTTTGTTTGTTTGTTGTTTTATTTCGCCCTACGCAATGTTACAGCTATATGACGGCGGACCAGAGACTCCAGTCAATGGCATCAAGAGCATCGATCTACGCAATTGGAATCTGATGACATGTGTCAACCAAATCAGCGAGCCTGTCCACCCGATGACATTTGTCGCCTCTTATGACAAGCATTGGATGCTGAAGACCCATTCTAACCTTGATCTTCACAGTTCGGTAATACTTTGATTGATGTGTCTTCAGGTACAACGTCCTCAGCGTCAGTCCGGGGCTGGAGCAGCTGGGAAACATCAAGTGGGAACTGGTTCTGTGTCTCTTTGTTTCTTGGTTTCTCATATTTGCCTGTTTAGCCAAGGGTGTCAGGTCTGTCGGGAAGGTAAGGACACGTGTTTCATTTAAAACACTGACTAACACGATAGTTTGTCAAGGTTACCCGCAAGCTATGTTTTCATCATGGTTGCAGATAAAACAATCATTTCTTGGTCTGATAATGTGCTTTGCAATTGTATGTGTGTAAGGCTACTGTTTTCCTTCCAACATGAAGGGGCGTATATTTCAAACAAAATATTCATATACAAATGTGGACATTATTTGTGGCACAAAACAAATCGAATCCTGTCCGTTTTTAATACTTGATCCTCAACTGAAATCAAACTTTCCAACAAAAACACAAGTCATAAAACCAATTCAAGACCTGCCTTGGTACTCTATGCGATACATGTAGGTAAGAATTCAGACGAGAAGGGGGTTTCAGTTATAAACTAGATTATAAAAGTTATTTATGAATAGATGACAATTATACAAATGCAATCTAAAAAAAAGCACTGAATGTTTTTCGCAAAGATATTGAATATTGATTGAGTATTGATCATGGAAAGGATTTTACATGACTGGGTAACCGACCTGTAATCTACATTATGTCTGGAGTTTTGAGCCAATCATAAATGAAACTGAACATGATATACAGTGGAACTAAGTCACATTCATTTGTCAACACGTTTTCATGTTTTCTGCAATACAAAAACAAAACGAAAAAGGAATAAAACATGGTTCACCCTACGTGTCAATTGAAGCATTTCCAGCATGTTTAATAAGGACCCAGACAAACATCTGGAGCAGACAGTCAACCGAGTCAGTCTGTGCCAATGCCATCCTTCACAAATGCTGATTACTTAATCTGTAAAAGGGGCGGTGGAGTAGGCTAGTGGTTAAAGCGTTTGGTCGTCACGCCGAAGACCCAGGTTCGATTCCCCACATGGGTACAATGTGTGAAGCCCATTTCTGGTGTCCCCCGCCGTGATATTGCTGGAATATTGCTAAAAGCGGCATAAAACTAAACTCACTCCCTTTAATCTGTAAATATGTATGTGAATTTAAGATGAGCGAGTTGAGATTAAAAGTTACATCGGTAGTATTTAGTGACTTAATCAAGTTACAGGAACTTAACATGACCTCTGTTTTAGGTTGTGTACGTGACTGCGACACTGCCATATGTTTTTCTCTTCATCCTGCTTGTCCGTGGACTGACCTTACCTGGAGGAACAGATGGAGCTCTGTTTTACATTACCCCTAATTTCAGGAAATTATTAAACATACAGGTGTCTATATCCTTCTACGAGATATAATTAAGTGATTCACGATTTGTCAAATAATGATTAAACGTGTCATTCTGATATAAATGATATTTGCCAACAATGTTTTATAAAAAAGCGAGTGAGTGAGTGAGTTAAAATATACCGTCAAGTCAGCACTATTTCAGCCATATACAATGTAGTGAACGAATTTAATAAATTTTATGAGTATCTTTCATGAAGGACAGTACAACATTAGCAACAGATCACATACTTCGAGTCTAAAGACTAATCATTTCTTATTTTGTGATAATTTACTCAATACAAATAGATATGACATTTATTAATATTAAAACACGGGCTATGAATCGCCAGTAATCAACGCTTGGCCACCTTACTGGGGATCATGGGGACGTTTTTTAAAAAGCTTGAATAGGATAAACTTTTTTTTGTATCAAATTATTAAATAGATGATTCTTGAGAGATGATGCGTGTAACCGATTATTTTCTTGTAGGTTTGGATTGAAGCATGTGTGCAGGTATTCTTCTCTCTTGGCCCAGCTTGGGGAGGAATTATCACATTGTCCAGCTTTAACAAATTTAATAGCAACTGTCTAAGGTAGAGCAAAATATATCACAATTCCTTTCTTTTCGTCCTAATGTTAAGCGTGTGTTGCGATAATGCATGTGTTTGGATTTAAATTGTTTTCAAGCAATTATTTACGGTAGATCAATTGAAGTTGTGATGGTACCGTACTGATATGGGCCCTCATCTGCCATATAGTACATATCTTGTGAAAATGTATGGTAATGTTACGGCCGTAACGTATGGTTTTAAGCCGCTTTTAGTAATATTCAAACAATATCACGGCGGAGAATACCAGAATTTGGCTTCATACATGTTGACGACGTACTTAAAGTATCTGTTGAAAAGCATTCTTGTTGAAATGTTGTTCGTGTGTTGTCTTCATTGGTCATATTAAATTACACGTACGTCCTAAACAAAACTTAAAGAATCATTGATCATTATAATGCGTCAGTTTTGGATTATTATGGTATATTTGTAACCATTTTAAAATGAATTCTTTCCCACAAATGTAATATATACAACCATTCATGGGAAATACATTTGTTAACAATCAAAGTGATTTAAATTGCTAAAATAGCTATTTTATATATTCTCTGCTTTTTATTTTCCACACACTTCGATACCACAATTCATGTAACACTGCATTCTCTATTTAGTGACCTAACGTAACCAAAGTTACATATTACACTGATGTTTTCGGCAGGAATGCAGTCATCTGCACGTCCGTTGGTGCCGGAACAAGCTTATTTGCCGGTGCAGTGGTCTTTTCCGTTCTTGGCTTCATGGCACATAACGCAGGTGTTCCCATCGCAGATGTTGTGTCCTCAGGTATATGTAACAGTTATTGTTAAAGGGCCTGTAAGTCTCGCGAGGCGCTACTTCTGGTGCTAAGCTGGTTCCCGGCTCCCTTTGCGCGCGCCAACTTGCGATATGCGAGACCGGGTCCAGCCTATATCCGGTACATGATTTCCGGTGACAAGCGTATATTCAAGAACCAGTTCTGGTTCCAAATTGCCAAATATGACTTTACTAGACCGGACCAAGTGTGACAACTATGCTGGGACGTCACAGCTGTTGACAGTCGTAATAGTTGGCTAATTTGGGGATGGTTAGATCGGAAATTTGTTATTCCTGCAAGGATCATCTGTTCCTTACTGTTAGCTGACAACCATGAGGCCATTCGAAAAGGTATGAGTGAGTGAGTGAGTTAAAATTTTAAGTCACATCGGCAATATTTCAGCCATATCGGGACTAAAGCAAGTTATAAATATATCAACAATTTAAGGTAAGTTATAAAATTCTGCCAACGAAGGACAGTAAAACAACTAGATTATCACAGATATAGATATAAAACTAGTAACTAAATCTAAAACATTTGAACCATACAAGACGATACAATAAAAAAACAGGCTATTGATCGCAAACAACTGAAGGTAGATCACCATACTACGAAAAGGTATGAAACGTTGTTTATCACCGGACGTACTAAGATCTCCGTGTCCAACTAACGGGCCCTATAGAAGGATTTCTTTTTCCAGTTGTATAAATTCCACCTTCAAATCAAGGAATTTGCAATTTAATAATCTTATGGCACCCATTCTGAAACAGATTATTACAAAATATTTATTACTGCTGCATTCCGAACCTACAGAAATGGAGACTGAGTACAGGGACGACACAGTATCAAGTAATTCTTCAATTGACAACAACGTGAAACGTTTAGTGGTTGATGGTTGGGTTTTTTCTAAAATAAAGCACTGCATTTCAGTCATTGCGATAAACGTTCGGGCGTTTGATTTGAAGAATATCGACGTTTGCGAATATCGAATATTTATGATAACGTAGGAATTGTATTATCAACTCTGCATTTAGCATGTGGAAATGGTTGTGTCGTTTGTAGCTATAGTGAGTGAGTGAGTGAATATTTAACGTCACATCGGCAATATCTCAGCCATTTCGTGATGAAAACAATTTTTACAATAAAAAGTTGTAGCTATAGTACTTTTCATTATTTACCATTTGTGAATCTATTCCAGGCCCAGGACTAGGATTTGTTATTTATCCAGAAGCACTGGCTCAACTTCCGCTTCCCCAGATATGGAGTTTTGTCTTTTTTATCATGCTTGTTCTCTTAATCCTGGATTCACTGGTGAGACACAATTTGCCGAAATAACGTTACAAAGACAATATTTGCATATCGGCATATAAGAACCACAAACGTTTGTAAAATAAACAACTAAACTTACTAACTATATCATTTGACTCAATCATCACAATTTTAAGATGCATCCTGTTATTCCTTTGGTCTTAAAATCTTTTAATATTATTTCTCTGCACAGATGTCTATGGTTGAAACTGTGATATCTGCCATCATGGATGAATACCCCGTGCTTTTGAAATGGAGAATGACTGTAAATGCTGTGTTTTGTGTCTCAAGCTTCCTACTTGGCGTCATATTCACCACTGAGGTATATAAGTATATATGTAATACAATACATGTACGTTAACAAGGTAATTTAACCGAACGCAGATGAGTCTTTCCACAAAAAGAGATTATGGGTTGCATCCTGTCCATATGTTGCAGGGTGGAATGTACGTTTTCACCATGTGTGACTGGTACTTCATCGCGATATTCTTCATCTTTAGTGGTTTTCTGGAGTGCACAATCCTGGGATGGGTGTATGGTAAGAAATCTATACTAGTTTTTTTTCTTCTGCAAAATAGATCAAAACACGATTCTTACGGGAGGTGTTTATATTTTTGCATTTGTTCAGAACAACACTATCGGGTTCATTGTGGTTGTTATTGGGCTTTCTCATTTAAAAACATGAAACATTTCATGCAACACCTATCAGCGATCAGTCGAAAAAGCCGCCTTGGGAAGCTTTGTAATTGTCATGAGAGCAGAGCTGAGCATTTTAAACGTATGTGAATTTTGTTTTCCGAAAATGAAGGTAAACTGGCAGTTCATTGAACCGAAAGACATTTTTTATCCCCCGCAACGCGTTTTATTATGTTGGAATCCGTCCATGCAAATTTGTCTTTTCCGGAACAGAACATAAAAACCATTCAATGTTTCTTCAACAAACTTGGCACATAGATAGGTCTGGTGGTGAACTGATGCCTTTTTGTAGTTTTGGATTTCTGAATAAAATATCTTTTGCGGTTCCATGGCAACAAGTTTGACTTCGACTGAAATTGGTGGGAGTGCTCTTTTCCGGAGCAGAACGTTAAAACTGTTCATTGTGTCTTCCCCAGACTTGGCACATAGAGAGGTCTGGTGGTGAACTGGAGCCTTTTGATAGTTTTGGATTTTTGAATATATTACTTTTTGCGTTTTAGTGGTAGTGCTCTTTTCCGGAGCAGAACTTCAAAACCATTCAATACTCTTCTTCTACTTTGTGGGTATTCAAGAACCGAATGACATAAATCAACAATGTCACTCTATTTCCAGTATCAACATTACTGAGGTACATTAAAACGTGGAACCACTCAGACAGTCTGTTGTTGATACAAGCATGCTAGTATATGAATAGTTTACATATATATGTTTTTGTTAGATCAATTTGAAGAACAATGTAACATATTTGACATAGTCATAACTTGCTGACATATTTATGAGGAGTATTTTATCATAGCGGGGGATATTGATGACTTTGTCTTCTTGTGGTTCACGTTTATCACCACTTACCCGTGTTAGTCGCGTGATTCACCAAACAGTAATTACCAAAGCATATATCACTTAGGCCTTTTCCCCCATATGATGTTGTCATGGCTTAATAGAATTGAAATGCTGTGAGCATTTTATTGACGCCAAAGCTGTAGACCTTTTCGCAAAGCTTCTTTCAGGTGAGTGTAAACAGACAGACAACCAGGTAGAAGGACGACGGACAGTCCCCCAACGAGATCAGCTTACTTGGTATTCAGTATGAAATTGAACAATATTGTTTCTATTACATTTTAGGCGAACTGTGTAAACAGCGGTCGCTTCTGGTAGGCCCGCACATGTTTACTCATTTCGCGAACACTAAGCGTCATTACTGATTTTTCAAAGGTAATTGGCATGGTTCATCCATTCTCGTAGCTATTTGGCCTTTACTGTAAAAGTATAGTTAGTCAAACCTGGGTATTATGTTGCAATCAGGTGCCATAGTTACAATGCGAAAAAATCTTGATGTATAATAAGCTATAATCAGCTCTGTGAGTTTCTTATACTTTCAGGAGTGAATCGTGTGAGTGAGGACATTGAACTGATGACAGGGAAACCTGCTCCATTGTTCTTCAAGATCGCATGGCGCTTTTATCACGCCCACAATTCTTCTGGTAAGGGACATATGTTTATTAACGGAAAATTAATATTAGAGTCATGTGAGTGAGAAAATAATCCAGCTATATGGCAGCGGTCGGTAAATAATCGGGTCTCGACCAGACAATCCAGTGATCAACAGCATGAGCCTCGATCTGCGCAATTGGGAACCGAGGACATGTGTCAACCCAGTCAGCCAGCCTGACCACCCGATCCCGTTAGTCGCCTCTTACGACAAGCATGGGTTACCTAAGAACAATATTTTAACCCGGACCCTCACGGGTAACTTTAGAGTCATGTGAAGTTGCTGCATGCTATTCTTGAATTCGTTCTTTATACAATCGTGTCACCTACTGGGGTGTTGCTATGTCAATTCAAACAGGCACCGTATGTGCTTCTTTCCGGACATCACTTTATGTACATATGCACATGTTAATGTATGGCAGAAAAATTATGTAATTTGTTTTGGTAAGTATGTAGCATGTTAACAGGTTTAGATGCCGAAACGGCATTTTAAATTAATATTTAATAGTCTTTGTGTTTTGTTCAAACCTTTCCAACTTTTAATGCTGTTTCAGACAATACCCATTGTCACCCTTGCTCAGTACAAACTTCCATCATCAAGAGTTGAACCTTTAACAACAAAATGTCATCCACCTTTCTTGCCCTTTCAGACAATACCCATTGTCACCCTTGTTCAGTACAAACTTCCATCATCGATAGTTGAACCTTTAACAACAAAATGTCATCCACCTTTCTTGCCCTTTCAGACAATACCCAGTGTCACCCTTGCTCAGTACAAACTTCCATCATCGATAGTTGAACCTTTAACAACAAAATGTCATCCACCTTTCTTGCCCTTCAGACAATATCCATTGCCACCTTTGCTCAGTACAAGCTTCCCTCATCGAGAGTTGAACCTTTAATAACAAAATGTCATCCGCCTTTCTTGCCCTTTCAGACAATATCCATTGTCATCCTTGCTCAGTACAAACTTCCATCATCGAGAGTTGAACCTTTAATAACAAAATGTCAACCATCTATGCCCTTTCAGACCATATCCATTGTCACCCTTGCTCAGTACAAACTTCCATCATCGAGAGTTGAACCTTTAATAACAAAATGTCATCCACCTTTCTTGCCCTTTCAGACAATATCCATTGTCACCCTTGTCAGTACAAACTTCCATCATCGAAAGTTGAACATTTAACAACAGAATGTCATCCACCTTTCTTGCCCTTTCAGACAATATCCATTGTCACCCTTGCTCAGTACAAACTTCCAAAATACGACAGTTATGTTTATCCGGACTACGCTGCTACTATTGGCTGGTGCCTAGCAACCATTCCATGCATCCCTTTGGTAGTGATGATGTTTACAACAATTTGGAGAATGGAGGGAAGCTTTCTGCAGGTGACTAAATTGTCTTCATCAAACAAGCAATACTATATTATTTGTGATAATTATTCAGTGTTGAAGGTGTTTGGTCAAACTGAGTTCGCTCCCCCTGAAACAAATTGGTATTGTGTTTACAGGAGTAATTTTAGGTGTTCTTATAAACAAAACAAAATATAAACAAGCAGCCTTGTCATTAAACTGACCAAGTATACGTGTGACTTTAACACTAATACATATACTTAACACTAAATGTCTACGTTTTATCAAAGGTGTCACAGTTGTCATTTTAGTAATTGCCATTTCGTCATTGAGTTTGTACCCTATACATTTACACCAAAACCGTGATTGGGAGATGACCGTTTGAAGAAAAAAGAAAAAGTACCGACGTATTTTTGCTTACATCATTTCTGGTGAGGTAATAACACACTTATTCCTGACAACTTCGGAAAACATGATATTTTACAAGGCACAACCAATAAGTCAAGCCTCTTAAGGTCACCTGAAATCGTAGAAAAAACAACATTTAATGCAACCGGTAATGTCTGATGAAACTTCTTTGAGATGTGTTAGGAAGGATAACAAAATATGGATAATCACCTTCTGTACTTCAGTGAAAACGACGTTTCTGTGCTTGATAATGCAATTCTATATTATTTGTGATAATTATTCAGTGTTGAAGGTGTTTGGTCAAACTGAGTTCGCTCCCCCCTGAAACAAATTGGTATTGTGTTTACAGGAGTAATTTTAGGTGTTCTTATAAACAAAACAAAATATAAACAAGCAGCCTTGTCATTAAACTGATCAAGTATACGTGTGACTTTAACACTAATACATATACTTAGCACTAAATGTCTACTTTTTATCAAAGGTGTCACAGTTGTCATTTTAGTAATTGCCATTTCGTCATTGAGTTTGTACCCTATACATTTACACCAAACCGTGATTGGGAGATGACCGTTTGAAGAAAAAAGAAAAAGTACCAACGTATTTTTGCTTACATCATTTCTGGTGAGGTAACAACACACTTATTCCTGACAACTTCGGAAAACATGATATTTTACAAGGCACAACCAATAAGTCAAACCTCTTAAGGTCACCTGAAATCGTCGAAAAAACAACATTTAATGCAACCGGTAATGTTTGATTAAACTTCTTTGAGATGTGTTAGGAAGGATAACAAAATATGGATGATCACCTTCTGTACTTCAGTGAAAACGACGTTTCGGTGCTTGATAACGCTGTTAAAATCTACACCGAAACGTCGCTCTCACTGTAAGTGATTCACTTGCTCGATAACGATGTTAGAACAGGGCCGTAGGTAGCCCGGGGAGCATCTGCCCTCCTAGAATTTATTTTACAGATTATTCTTTGTACATCAAAGTATTGATATAACACTCTTTTGAGCGTCTGACAGATGATCGGTACCCAGGGCCCAAGTTAACTTTTCTTAATAGGGGAGGAAATTCAAATACAGATAAAAGCGTATAATGGAGTCAAAATCATGTTGTATATTCCCTTGGAACTGTAAATGTGTTCATTTCATTTGATCATGAATAAAGCAATCTTTCTGATTGTCTTATCTTGTTAAGTTACAATGAGTAACCTGAGTGAGTGAGTAATATTGAACAAACCTGAAGATATCATGTATATGATGCACATTTCACGTACAATTTCTGGACTGTCAACTGAATTAAATAATACAACTATTGTATATTAATAGTTAAACTGATATGTTTAGTTCAGAACATTATATACAGATTATACAGTTATGAACGAAGACTTGAAAAAAACATGAAATAATTTGGTCAAACGTAGCAGGAACAAATAATATTTGATACAAAATTGGAGATGACACAAATGGAGTCATTTTACCTGCCAAAAGCAGTAAATTGCATCTGAGAGCATCTAATTTTAAAAACACTTCGGGGAAGCATGCACCCGGGCCCTCAGCAGCTTCGCGGCCTCGAACGTGGACAGTACCCCACCTATTAAGAAAAGTTAACTATGGCCCTGTAGAATCTACAAAAAAACGTCGCTCTCACTATAATAAATAAGTTGTTGTTCCCTATTCCGCTATCCTTCCTGTATGTCTTACCTGTGTACGAACAAATACCTCGTTTCTATTGGATAAATCGCACTAAAAATTGAGGGCATGCAATTACGTCGTGAAAATGATTTTCCTTTAACTTGAACCGTTGCTTTGATGCATTAGCACAAAAACACGTATTATTTGAGACTAGATGGTTCAATGTTGCGTTTAGGTATTAACTAAATGTGATCGAATGTTCCTTTCCAGAGACTCAGGAAGTCCCTGCAGCCCGACAGTTCCTGGGGTCCTCGTCTTGTTAGAGATTATATGACAGTTGGAATAAGAAACCAAATCTCATTGGAAACCTGTCATGCTTGAATCTTCGCTCCATGTTATGATCACATGACGAAGCAGATGCTTTAGGACAAAATGTCAACCGTGAAACTCATCGTCGTGCAGGACGTATCTCGATAAGCATACCAAGCATAAGCATACGAAGAATTCATCCCCCGATTACCGGGCTCTTACTGACAGAGAATGGGAGTCATACGGCGTTCAGACAGGTTGTCCTGTTTCCAGCTGGCTCTTCCGGGGTCTGGCCCCAATTATTTCCCTTGTTTGCCATCTACATTGACAAAACATTCTACCATAATACGTATCGGCGATTGGCTGTTCTCCTGTTGCATACTGACTCGTCTTAGTTTTTAGTTTCATCATTGTGCGTTGTTGGAATAATAATTTTTTTCCAAAAATGTCTGTTAAAGTGAATATGTATGTTTTATAATTATAGTTATTAGAATTACCATTATATCATCTGTATACTTTTCTGCAGCATTTCTCTTTTTCACAGGACGGCAGAAAGGCTTGCATGTATAATTGTATTTAAGTACTCATAAATAAAATGGTTTTTGGCTTTCATTTTATCAATATAAAACCAAGTAACATTATTTTGTTAAACATTCAATATTCACACTTTTTACAATTTTTACTCTTGGGCATTATTTGTAAATTCCAAGAAACATTAGTTTCCAAGGGTGAAAATCGTGCAAAAATAACACCTTGAAATTTCATCAAAGTCAAAATTTACTTTTCCGATGCGAGCGCTAATATGCAAATAAGACTCTCCAAATGTCTGCTAATATTATATTTTCTGTACTAATAATATGTTAAATATATTTCCTTTAATATTTAGAAAAAAATACATATCTTGGGAAGGGGCGCAGTATATTTCACACATTAATTCTTGTCACAAGATTATCATATCACATATTCACAGCGTTGATTGCCACGTGTACAGTCCGGACATTGAAACTTTGATTGTCAATGTGTTCAACTTCTTTAGTTTAGAGAAAGATCGGGGAAAACCTCTTGTTTTACCGCACTTGTCGAGCACTGGGAGTTCGTATCAGAAAGTTAATTCAATTGTAAACAAAACAAGGCAAGTTGGGGGTCGTCTCAAAAGTTAAACCAGGAAGAAAACAGAAGTTGGACAACTTTGAGGAGGTCATTCGTTCAGGCTCTGAACCAGAAAGTACCACCAACATGTGATTCCAGGTCGTCTACCTGGACGAGACATGTGTAAATAAAAAACAGTCCACTGAAAACACGTGGTTGTCCACGGGCGTCTTCAGCAAAGCACCCACATTCACATCCGGTAAGAAGTCCCATTGTGCTCTATGCCGGTACGCGTGAATTGGGGCTCATTGATTGATGTGAATCTGTGTTTGAAGCCAAGCCCAAGACTGGTCATTGTCACCAAGAAATGAAAGGTGAGTTTTTTTCCGGACTGGATGGAACATCAGCTCCTATAGTGGAGCAGATAACTGAAAATTTCAAGAGAATCGTTCACTTCCGGAAACAAGCACCAAAATTGGCACACATACTCCTGGGGGGGTGCTCTTTTGATAAAACCCGTTAGCCACCTAAAAATTCAAGATGGCCGCCCTTTTTCAAGATGGCCGCCATTGAATATAAAGAAATATTGCATTTCTCAAAAAATTGCAGAGACCTGTCCGATTTGAACGATTTTGGTGTCAAATCTTACATTTTTGACTATATAGAATCCGAATTGGACTCATTCACTGGCTCTCCTGTAGCATATATCGGTCCCAAAATCCTAATATTCTGCAAAATAAGAGGTTCACGACACGTCTGATTCTGCTAAAGTGCATGGTAATTTATATCGCACTTGTGTTTGAGGTCTTGTTATATGTAGCATCTTTCTGTGCAAGGCTTCCAAACTGGACACGAAGTGTGTGTATGTATGTGTGTGTGTGTGTGTGTGTGGGGCACTTGTAGCGGAAGGTGTAGAGTAGTAGCTCAACAGAGCGGATATCAACGCACAACCAGGGCACCGCTGCTGTGAAATTCAGCATGGGGTTAAGTATCGGCTGTATTATGAGTTTTATATAGCTAAATAATTAGTTTAGTGTCCCAAATGCTATCTAAGTAGCCCCGCATCAGTGTAGAGTGTAGAGTACATGTACTTTTACATTGATGTTTATTATAATAAGCAATATTAGGGGGGGGAGGGAAGTAGGATTGTGGGTGAGTTTAGTTTTACGTTTAGCATTATTCCAGCAATATCACGGCGGGGAACACCAGAAATGGACAGTAGGATTATGATACTCAAATGATGGTTGTTCCGATTTAACCAGAGAATATTGTGAAACCAAACAAAGTGTGGCAGTTAGCGCTGTATACTTGAAGAATAGCCAAACAAATACTGTTGACAATACAATGGGTATACTATATGATTCAAGAGTAAACCAAAAGTTGAAATCAAATGTTTATTGTGGGACACTAATTTGTCCAGCAAGAAGTGAATCAGTTATTTGTTCTTGTACATTTCATAATTTTTGACACTTTTCATTATTCTTGTCAAGCTGATCTTTAGCAATAGTTGTGTTAAATTGATCATTGTAGATTTTGAATTCAGGAATATGAACTTTGACAGTCTTGGCAAATAACGTGTGACCGAGAGTGTTATTTACGGAATCATCGTCAAAGATATGTTGAATTAATGCCATGGGAATATATTACTTTGGAGACTGTTTTGCTTTGACATGAACTAAGATGTGATGTATTGAGACGATTTTCAGTTTTTACAGTACAAAGACAGGGTATATTAACTAAACACATACATAACTGAGGAGTATTTCTCACTTGTAGAGATTGCTACATGTGGCACGAAGTCTAATAGCTGTGTGGCTTGTTTTGAAGCTGCATTGATTGGGACAGGGTATGAATTAATGTGAAAAAGTTTAAAGGCATAATGTGATGAAGCAAAAGGAAATGTGATAGTAAGATAGAGTGTGTCAGATTTGGTGCGAGCAAATATACATTTTCTATGTTCATAATAGAAATTTGGGTTCTTCTCCAACAGAGAAAGGAGCTTCTGAATGTGGTGAAATATAGTAGTGACAAATCTGAACTAATCAGAAGGGGAGGTAACTTACCACTTACCAAAGATTGAACTCCGAGTTTAAATTCTTGTAAATTGTGTTCAAAGGGTTGTTAAAACTGATGCTTCCTCTAATGTGTTAAATGATGTTTTATGCTCCTAGTGGCTTGTATAATAGCTTCATGGTTTAGTTTGATACCACTGAGGGCATTGTTAAACCTGTGGTCCATTGCTGTCATATATACTGGACAAAATAAGTTAGGGATATTGGTATTTTTATGGTTGATATTTTATCAGTGTGTCAATGAATAAATAGATCATTGTTCATAATTTCAAAATTGACATATATCCTAAACTATATTTGTCCAGTATATGATGGAAAGGGGTGTTTGAATCTTTTGAAGGTGTTGGCTACTTAAAGATCCCCAAGTGTGAGGACATTAATGTGTCCATTGAGGCAGTTCCGAAGAGTGATTTGGAAAACTTCACAATGAATCCAAGGATAGTTCGTTTGGATCGTCCTTTAGATGGATATGTCTCTAGAGGAACGAGCTTGTTGATGTGCTGAATTGGTAGATTCATCAAGGCTGCCGTCTGAAACTTGATAGAGCTTGAACAAGGTTCACAGCGGTTCCATCCCATTGTGATTGTTAGATGCAGTGGTTTTGGTAATTCGATTTCATATGCATGATGCCAATACTCATCTGCACACTGTATCTTGAGTGAAGGGGTGTAGACTATACCACAGTTCATACGCTGAAATATATCATCTGTAGCTTTTTCTCCAGAAACTGGAGGCAAAAGAAGTCCAAATATATAGGGTGCTTCCCAGGAGAACAAGAGACCTGAGAAATAGGGAAATAACAATTAGATGGGAATAAGACTGGGGATGAGAAGTGTAAGACCTCTCTTATTTGCGCTGAAGAGCTTGTAACATCTCTACCAAAATGGCTTCCTCCTGCTTTTGAATCATGATAGGATTTTAAAAGAGAAGGTCTGTCAACTTTGGGGACTGCCAGCTGTGTGATGAGAGGATGACGATTAGATTTGACCCCTGAATTGTATTATGTAGAAGTGGTACAGGGTTCCATCTCTGATGTCATATGCCATTGCTCTTCCCATGAGTCCTCTGATCTGTGGCTCTGTATAGGTTGCTGGAATTTCTTGTAGTTGAAGATTTCTATAGTCTACATTGCCTTTGACCATGACTTACTTCTGTGACTTGAGGAACATCAATGGTATCAAGCAGGTTGTCTTTGGAATAGCTGAATGTGACCTGTAATGGCTCACTTGGTTCCATGATGTCTGGCGTTGGAGGAATAGCTGAATGTGACCTGTAATGGCTCACTCGGTTCCATGATGTCTGGCGTTGGAGGAATAGCTGAATATGACCTGTAATGGCTCACTTGGTTCCATGATGTCTGGCGTTGGAGGAATAGCTGAATGTGACCTGTAATGGCTCGCTTGGTTCCATGATGTCTGGCGTTGGAGGAATAGCTAAATGTGACCTGTAATGGCTCACTTTGTTCCATGATGTCTGGCGTCGGAGGAATAGCTGAATGTGACCTGTAATGGCCCGCTTGGTTCCATGATGTCTGGCGTTGGAGGAATAGCTGAATGTGACCTGTAATGGCTCACTTGGTTCCATGATGTCTGGCGTTGGAGGAATAGCTGAATGTGACCTGTAATGGCTCGCTTGGTTCCATGATGTCTGGCGTTGGAGGAATAGCTGAATTTGACCTGTAATGGCTCACTCGGTTCCATGATGTCTGACGTTGGAGGAATAGCTGAATGTGACCTGTAATGGCTCACTTGGTTCCATGATGTCTGGCGTTGGAGGAATAGCTGAATCTGACCTGTAATGGCTCACTTGGTTCCATGATGTCTGGCGTTGGAGGAATAGCTGAATGTGACCTGTAATGGCTCACTTGGTTCCATGATGTCTGGCGTTGGAGGAATAGCTGAATGTGACCTGTAATGGCTCGCTTGGTTCCATGATGTCTGGCGTTGGAGGAATAGCTAAATGTGACCTGTAATGGCTCACTTTGTTCCATGATGTCTGGCGTTGGAGGAATAGCTGAATGTGACCTGTAATGGCCCGCTTGGTTCCCATGATGTCTGGCGTTGAGGAATAGCTGAATGTGACCTGTAATGGCTCACTTGGTTCCATGATGTCTGGCGTTGGAGGAATAGCTGAATGTGACCTGTAATGGCTCACTCGGTTCCATGATGTCTGGCGTTGGAGGAATAGCTGAATGTGACCTGTAATGGCTCGCTTGGTTCCATGATGTCTGGCGTTGGAGGAATAGCTGAATGTGACCTGTAATGGCTCACTCGGTTCCATGATGTCTGGCGTCGGAGGAATAGCTGAATGTGACCTGTAATGGCTCGCTTGGTTCCATGATGTCTGGCGTTGGAGGAATAGCTGAATGTGACCTGTAATGGCTCACTTGGTTCCATGATGTCTGGCGTTGGAGGAATAGCTGAATGTGACCTGTAATGGCTCACTTGGTTCCATGATGTC